CACTGCCGACGGGAAGAGGCTGTGGCGGCAGGTCTTGGTCCTGATGGACCTCAGCCTCCTGCCAGAAGGAAGGCACACACTCTTTCAAATTTGGCCCTCACATTGAACTCCAGAGTCATGTCCTGTGCTATAGCTGGTAGATTTCCCCCTTGACCTCCTCTGTAAGGAATGTCTGGCGAGTTCAGCACCATGGACAGTGTCCTATTCAACACAGAGAGGCAACCGAAGGCACATTAGGCAAGCGTCTACCCTTTGTTCTGTTCTTTTCTATTTCTATCTATTTTTGAAGGCCTTTTTAAACACATTGGAGGTCATAGCATGGACGGTTCCTCATGTACACCCTTGCAGAACTCTCATGCAGGATGGCGATGGCCTTTGTCGAACATTCTTTAAATGTTTTATCTGGTATCTTCATACCCTCCGAGCTCATTTACAATGGAAGTATGTCTGGCCATAGCGCCCCTAATGAACTCAATGGGAACCTTTCTTTGCCCTTAATAGGGGTTATTACCGGAAAGATAGCCAATCGATTTTTTTCTTTCACTGGGGAAAGAGCCCCTTGGTGTTTGGTCAAATACTGATGCCAGATTTTTAGGCGCAGCCATGAAATACAAATCTCATCTGTGTAATGGGACAGGTAGCGGGACGGGCTTGAGGAAGCCTCCGAGGGAGACGACATGAGAGGTATTCAGACTCGCGCTGCTCTTCCTTTGGCATTTAAAACCATTTTCCCTTATTTCACGGTTGTAAAGAATTGGATGGAGCCGGTTGCCATGGTGATTAGTGAGCAAACAAACCACGCGGAGAATCAAAGCGTGACCTCTGAGTTGAAAGATGAGAGGAAATTGAAAAAAAAACAACACAGGTGAGAGGTTGTCAGTTGAATTTTTTTCAGCACAGACCATGACCCCGGTGCTGCCGCCGTCGTCTGATCGTTCCCTGCTCGGGAGGCCGAGCCGGATTCAATTGCCCTAAGATGCAATGACAAAAGTGGAGACTATTTTGTGGGACTGTATGTGCTAGTTTCTCTTTGCATGCATCCCAAGTGTGTGTGTGTGCGTGCCTTGTCTGATTGAGTAAATTTGTAGCTGATATGCGAGAGGCCCGCACATGTCTGCGCGTTCCCTCCTGCGGCTGTGCGTGTGTGTGTTGATCTTGTTTATGTGCCCGTCCCAGTGGTTAAGACGTGACTGATGGGGATAGGGGAGAAACAGGAGGAGAGAAGGGAAAAGACGAATGACCTGACAGCTCCCCTATTCAACTCCTAATCACTTAGGTGGCATGGAGGCTCTGTGTGGCGAGGAGGCGCAGTGTTTTGGAGATCAGGTGTGTGTGTGTGTGTGTGTGTGTGTGTGTGTGTCTGTGTGCGCAATGCAGAGGGATGTTCAAAATGTTTCAAAAATCCAAAGTCTAAATCTTTTTCTCTGCTGCTTTTTGGATCTTGTTTTGTATGGAGTAACAAATGTACACAAATAAAGTGACAGAAGTCTGTTTTCATTAAGGCGGTAGAAAGTAGTGTGCAAGCAATAGAGAGGAAAGGAAAACCTTTGACGGGTATTGATGAGTAGGAAATGCTAAGACAACATGACACCTTTAGTCCGGGAGCTGTTTTTGAAGCGGTGCAGTCTAAAGTCTGCATTTGTAAATGGTAAAACACACTGATCTCCACCAGAGGCAAGAACAGAGCAGACTCGTTTACAGCAGACCTTCTGGGTGGAGGCGTATTTAGGTGAGCTTGTACATCAGAGACACCCTGCCAACACAGGATTTCACCAAGCGTGCTCTTCGCTGTCTAAACCAGCATCTGGATTTGAAAGGTGTGTGTGTGTGTGTGTGTGTGCGGGTGTGCCAATACAATGAGCCAAGGAAGGAGTTTAGGAGTACATCCATTTCTGGGTCCATTTTGACGGTCTAAGTCTGTGTTCCTGATGTGCCAGAACTCTGAGGCTTGTCAATTAGTTGCATCAGTAACACGTCTGTTGCTGGTCTCGTGTGCTTCGGTGCGTGAGCCTCTGCTTGTGGGCGGCAGCAACATTTTGTTTTCACTCCTCCTCCTTTTTGTTGCCTAGTTAACTTTGTTTTGTTCGGCTGTGTTGAGCCCATCCCAGTTGCATCTATTCCGTGGCATTTAAGTCATCACCCAAATGAACACACCGGTTGTACAAATTCGTCTCGGTGGTTGCCTGGAAACGGGGGTAAAATTGTTTTGTCTTTTTGTTGTATGACACAAGAAATAGTCAACATTATTTGGCTGGATCCTACCAGCTGTGTTATTATTATTAATAATAATAATAAGGCATTCCTTTATTCTAGAGAGTCTTAAGAGCCATCCGAAAGCTGCAGGTATCTGGTCCATCGCTAGTCATTGGAGGGATGTCATATTCTTCAGTTTCTATGCAGTAAATTAGCATGTTTGTTTGTGACATCAATTACGTCGTCTTCCTCCACTGATAATTTCTCAGGGCCTTGTGTCTCCATCATAAATATTTGGTAACCAGAGCAACAAGTGTGGGCATGACCTTCTTTCTAACGAGTTTGGCCAAAGTGTCGCCTGGAGCGTCACATTTAAAATAATATATAATTTTCTCAATACAGTTAGACGTGCTAGCATCATGAAGTGTCAGAGATTTGGATTTCATTTTAAATGGTGTTGCCCCAAACTGTTATGCAAACAATCCAAAGTTAATGAGTTAATCATTGCCAGGGTCACGTTTTTCTGAAATCTGAAGATTAAGCCGGCAGCTGTCGACGATCCTTTTACAGATTTATTCTTCCGGAGTCAACCCAAAGGTTTCTTAAAACAGCTTGCTTAAAGAAAGAAACGTGTGGCAAAATGTGTCTGGAATGATGGAGGTCTTACTATTTTTCCCCTCCACCTTTGCTGTCCTTAAAGGATTTTGGTGCATAAAATTGTACGAGTAAAAGGCAACGCACAACATAAATTGTTGGAGTACAGATTAGTGTCGGTAAAGGGGCAGACGTAACCTCAGGCTTGAACATGAAATATAGCAGTGCTCTCAAAGCAAAGGCAAAGAGTCAAGTGTGACTATTAAGATAATGTCCTAGGGATACAGATTTCTGACAAAGGGAATACATGTATATATGTATGAATGAATAATATATATACATATTCGGTTGCAGGTTAACAACTTTGGCCTTATGTCTGAAGTAAATATTTAAAGGTAGTAATGTTAGCCATCAGCACAATGCTTTTTACTTGTCAAAATAGAGAATTCATCTCCTAATCTCCAAAAACAGACACATTTTAGTCAACAGGGCGTATTCCCTCCAACAACCAAAGTCAGTGTTTTAAAAGTGTTGTGTCGAGCTTTGGCAATCATCACCAGCAAGCTGATCGCGGTAAGATAAATAACAGTGAGCAGAGCAGCATTAAAACCGACTGGGCTGATAAACGACGCCGCAGAATAGGGTGAATAATCCGGAAAGTGTCATTTTTGGAAGGGAAATAAGAGTGAAAGAGGATTTTTCTTATGCACCAAAAACCGGCAGTGGCTTCTGATACAGAGCCCCGTTAGTGTGTTTGTGAAAGAATTCAATTACTGGAGCGTGGGGGCATGCAAACGTGTACCTGTGCGAACAATAATCCCCATTTAGGCAAATTTACTTTCCCTCTAAGAGTAATACAGTTCTAATAAGTGTGTCTAGCTGTTTGTGTTTGCGATCTGAAAGGCTCACGATCATTACTGCCGGGGAAAACACACGTGTGCTTTGCATGCTGCGCGCATTGCTCCGGGAGCTGTAGCCGAGTCGTTGTTACGGGGCATTTAAATCGGGGAAGGGCCTCTGTTTTGAGTTCGCGTATGTCTGTGTGTATCCGTGTGTGCGCGATATCGCCAAGAGCCAGACGAAGAGTGATAAGGGGAAAAAATCTGACACAAAGATACTGAGCGGGGTACGGAGAGGGACTTGTGTTTGTGTGCAGCGTTTTTGGGCAGTGCGTTTCTCATCATTAGGGAGAATATGGAGAAAGAGTGAAGGGATTGTGTTCTGGTGTGCGTGGTAGCCACGGGCTCACACAGCAGCCTGATAATGAACACATTGATCTGCAGCGGAGAGGGAAAGAACAAACCTCCATGTATTAACACAGACCGTAGAATCTTTTATTAATGCGGCTCGTTCATGTTATTTATCTCATTTTCTGTCTGTCGCTTTTTTTATTCTTTCCTTTGGATCAGCCCCCTTGCTTGGTTTGTTCACACATTCTTTGTCTTTGTTATACATCTTGTTTGCTTTTTACTTTTGGATGAGGCTACGCCAGCTGTTCTTGTTGCTACCATCCTGGATGCTAAGCTAATTCTATCCATTTTTTTGGTCTGGGTCGACGCTTCAATTTTGATTGTGTAGAAATGTATCACACAACAATGTTTTACACAGCTGCCTATTTCCCCATAGGCATGTATGCAGGCAGCATATTGTAATGTATTTGATAAGTGATACAATTGAACAAAGTCTGGTATGCAGCTGTATAGCTGAACAAGTCTGTGTCCTCCCTGTAGCAGGAGTCTGAGGACACAGTGTCCCTCTGTGTGGGTTTAATACCACGGAATGAAACCAGCTCTCCTTTCTAGGCCTGGCAAGACGTAAACACTTTAACTTGTGTTTTAATATAAACGATACTTTATTGTCTGTATACATTGACAAAGTTGAAGGTTTTTAACGATATTGTGTAGATATTGTCTCAGTCGGCTCCCATTTGCTCGCTGCCTTTCCTTGGGGACATGAAACAGCCATGAACACATCTAAAGCCGCTCTAAGACTATTTCCATATCCTTCACTCAATGCTTCCAACTAGCATTGTCTCTGCGTTTCTTTTGAAGCTGCTTTCTGTTCTTTGGTATTTGAATGCGACAAAAGAACTACAAATCCATTTGTAGAACAGGACTTGCGCTGAGTGATCGCTTTCTTCCACTGTTTACACCATGTACATTGTCACGTTTGGTTACACCTAACTTCCCGCTCTTTTCCATCTTCATCTCTAGACCAACATCCCGTTCCTCCAGAATGTTTTCAGCAACCACCAGTTCCTGCACTCCACCGTGGACACCCAGTTCATCGACGAGAACCAGGAACTCTTCAACCTGAAACCCACCCAGAACCGAGCACAGAAGCTGCTGCACTACCTGGGTGAGTGATGCTCCCGCTGTGTTCCTCTATGCCTTTTATCTAATGGCAGGTTCAGTCTGTTTCAAACTGTACATTCAACCAGGCCCATAGACAATGAGCCAGAAATATAAGGTAACGGCCTCAGAAATATCCTCTGGCCGATTATGTCCTGATTTGTTTATGTGGCTTCCACGTGGTTTCATCCAGTTTAAAAACGGGAAGTAAAACAGTGGATATATAAGCTCAGCTGATCGTACTCAAGCGCATTAAAGACCTTTTACGATCTTAGAGGGAAACCTCTAAAGGTTTCTTTAGTCGTATATACTTAAAAGGAGCTATTAGAGGTGAGGATGGACCTTAACATTGATATGATTTTCTATTAATAAAATGACTCTAAAGTATAACTAGGGTGGACTTTGGTTAATTGCCCTTCTACCAAGCCATAGAGGAAAGCAAGGGAAGGCCGATGAAAATGGAATTTCTTAAATTGTGGATCAAGAAAGTATAAAAGATGTACTTCTATAGGGATTTACTTCAGTTTAGCTCAAGGTTTGGTGTAAAAGATTTTCTAGTACAGAGAATATATGAAAAACCTGCTTTTTTGCCTTAGTACAGATTTGTAAACCACATTGATTATTTTCTTTTCTTGTCTTCTCTGAATGTTTGATATGTTGCAGAGCAGCCTCTGACTTGTATCCTCTTTTTTTGGTACACAGGTCATGTGATGGTAAATGGACCAACCACACCAATCCCAGTCAAGGCCAAGCCTTCCTCCATAGACCCCGTCATCCCTCCTGGCACCATGGGTATGTCAATTACATTCAATCCAGCCAATAGCGATAGGAAAATCACTCTTTCACATACTATGATGCTAACACGGTCACAACACCTAAGTCACCTCCTTCCTTCCCCCAGCAAAATATGATTTTATACCCTGCAAAGCCCTTGAAGCAGTTTTTGCATTGGAGATCAACATGACCAGCTTATTGCCTGGATTACATCTGGAAAAAGATGAGCATGGCACTGCCACTGCAAGGGTTAGGGGTTTAATCTCTCCGGGGACCTCCCTGCTAAAAATATTCAACATATGTGGATCCGTAGGGCACTTTGGATAATAGCCCCCGCCGAATGACAAATGGGGCTGTCGGACCGGCCGATCGCTGCCGGCGGACAGGCCTTCCTAAGTGGCTCAGTTTAGCGCTCAAGGAGGAAAAGGGCTTTGGCCCAGAGAGCTGAGCTGTGAGCACAGGGATGAGCGGGTGCGGTTCACCGCTCGTGGAGGCAGGAGTTCCATGCTTCTCACACCTGCTCTGCACAAGAACCCATGTAGTCCCTCAGGGAAGGCCTGAGGTCAAGGGGGGGCTCTTTGACAAGCTCGTTGAACCACTTAGTCTCTGCAGGCTTTGTTTTTTTAATTTTTATTTTCCTTTCCATAGCTTCTGTCTTCGGGAGTTTCAAAAGGTTAAACAAATTCTGAAATAACAATTTTTTTAAAACCGTTTGATTGTGGAACACTTGTCGTCTCTGTCATTTAGAAATATTATTTTTGTCCCTCCCCACTGCGCTCCAGGGATTTTGTTTTCGTTAGGGGGGGGGGGGGGGGGGCCGGCGGGCAAACTGGAAAGACTTTTTGCAGCTGCTCCTTTTGACCGCCTCAAAATATTGAGCTGCCACAATCTGACATGTTTATCAGCAGCGTGTTCTGCCTCAACACATACCCCAGCGTGCCCCGGGGACACCCATTTTTAACAAAACAATATGAATCCTAATCAGGCATAGCTCCTCAATCTGACACCTAAAAACCCTGCACAGTGGAACCTAATGGAGTTGAACAGGACAATATAATCTGCCGTGTATTGTATGTATTAGTGTGCCTGTGACTGACTGACGGTACTTACTCTTCACAACTCACACACATGTACTGAAGACGTTCTCTATAGGCAGTACCCCCCCCCCCCCCCCCCACCTTACTGTAAGTAGCTGATGAAGTAGTTTTATGTAGCACAGGCACGCACAGAGGCACACCTAAAGCCTACTAATGAAATTTGTAATGTGCTTATATCCTTTCATTGGGCAAAGGGATTGGGAGGAGAGGGGGATTAGGGCTGTATTATCACACTCTGTGGGTGGCGGGAGGGACGGGGGCATTTGAGGAAAGAAGGGGTGAGGAGAGGAGAGAGTGCAGCCGGTGCATAATCCTTAAATGTGGAGAAAATCGCCGCAGTGGCAGCGAGGGAGATATGGACCGATACGCTGACGCAGAAGGATGCGTGGGGGGGGGGGTTCGAGTGTCTCTGAGAGACTGGCCGAGTGTCTCCTGAGAGACTGGCCGAGTGTCTCCTGACACAACGTGTTAAGTACTGAAAGGGCGTTCTTTTCTAATTAGGATTTGTAGTCCAAAACGTTCGCTGTGAGGGCTGATTGCTGGTGCTTCATCGATGGGTGTAGAAGTACACCTTGTTCCAATTATACTCTGGATGTGTTTTATGGAGGGCATGTAGAGGTTAATCAGCAGATGCCGGTTAGCTAGCTGTAGGAGGTCAATAAAAATGACACACTACTTCCCTCCTCCCATTCGTTGCGTTTCCGTTCTTAAGATTATACTAAAAGCGTAGTTTGTTTGAAAAAAACGCAACATCTAAGCTCCAAATGGACTCAATGTCTTGAATAATTTCCTGTTTTTTTGATGATGATTTCATTAGCCATCTTCAAACAGAAAGGGGTTTCTTTATTTTTCTGTCTTGCTTTTGCTTAGCTCTGAAACTAATTTGGAGGTAGCTTTAAAGAAGAAAGTGAGTCATACAGTCTTAAATGTGGCTTTCTGAATCCTCAAGATATCCTCTGCGTCTACTGAAGGGAAACTTTTTTTTTGTCTTTGTTCTTAAAACATTCCTTTCAATTTGTTTGTTCCACACCTCCAATACAGCTATTTTGAGGAAAACAAGTCATGTTCTTGAAGTCAGTGCCAGTCAAAGGTTTTCTAGCAGGCAGTATTGTAGAAGTTATGACAAATACCAACCAATAACTTGGTTATTTGGCAAATGTCACATATATATTTGGTGGACCGTACAAAGAGACAAATATATATAGTGAGTTTGGAATTAAACTTTTCTCTAGCGCAGAACTCATTAACAGTTCTGTTAACACGTTCCCACCTAATTAATTGGCTTTTCCAGCACACCTGACTTATAAAATTAAAAGTTTCCCCAAGACAAAGACGCCATACATTTAACGCTCTCCTCAGAGGACGCTGACGACGCTGACGACTCAAACTGCTTCTCCTAGATTATCTTCCACACAGATAGAGAAAATACCTCCGAGCATTGTCGCTTGCACCGCCTGGTCACGTTAGCCCGGGTGGAGTTGAGTGAAGAAACGAGGTCTGGCAGGACCGGGATCAAGAGGGCGGGGGAGTGAGGGTTGTGCAGCTGGGTAGTGGGAGGGGAGTGTTTTCGATGCAAATGAAAACGTCTGCGTTAGTGGGTCGATTTTGTCAAGAACAGTGTCCATTTGGGACACACACATCCACCAAAACCCGCTTGGAAACCAATCGCATTCAAAGGCCACAGTTTGGTCCCAGTGCACAAGCTGTATTTCCTGTCTGAAAAAAACGCATGCTCAAAGTCCTCCCATCTCTCACACACACTTGTTTTTTTCTATCTTTGGGGTGTTCTCCAGTCAGCTGTATTATAGGGAGATCTTGATAAGTTCAAAGTGTCTGCATTAGCTACGGCGGTGTGATTTAACCGAGCTCATCCAGCGTGGGGAATATTAAGCGACGCAGGGAAAGTGAGATGAGGGAGGGAGGGAGAGGGGGTACAAAGGGTTGGAGGACAACTCAGCCAGCCGGCCTCATTTACTAATCTAATTGATTGATATTTGTAGCCACTGCAGTGAGAATAGCTCCCAATTCCACCTCCCAATATTTGATTGCCTGTGGTTGTGCTTGTGCTAAATTGCAAGGCACGGAGAGGAAAGCGCGATGAAAAAGAGCTGCAGTAGGATGATGGGGGCTTGGCTGAGGCAGAGCCCGTGGCGCCGGCTTTCTGCACGGTTTACCTTGTTTGTTTTGAGAACAATTAGTTTTTATGAACTGGAAGTTACGGCATTTGTCTTGGGAATTCCACAGCAAAGGATTAAACGCCTGCTTGTGGAATTCTTTAGCGGCTGATGGGGTTTAGATTGGAAACGTTCACCTAAAGCGAACATACATAATTCTATTTTTCAGTTTTGTCTTAATCCTGGCAATTTTTGTTCTTTCAAATCTTTTTTGTTTTTGTATGATCCTACTCGATTGCAGATGTTCATATTTAGCATTTATCCATTGCTGACATGTTTGCTGATGTCATTGGATCACCCTGACGTAAAAGGGAACAAACATTTTTTTAATTTGTAACCCTAAGAGCCCAATGGCCCGGAACCGCAAACAACCCCAATTCAAATATATACAATGATATAATAACAACAATCATCTTATTACCATAAAACAATGAGAGACATATTGGACTTGAGAGAGAAACTCTGCTGTCCTTGTTTCAGTCTCATACAAAAGCTGATAGTCAGCTCCTAAAACAGTGACAACTCATTATTGGGAGCAAATTGCCTGCATAAAGATGATGGGATATTGTGAGTTACTAAAAAGCTGATATTAGAGATGGAATTGAACAGGTTGGAGGTTGAATAATGGTGACAGTGACAACGGTGCAGTGATGATACGCCAATGAACAGGAAGATGGGAAGGTCGGGACGTGTGACCGCGTGGTAACTGACGCCAGATCGACTGAAGGCTCCTCATGATCAACACGTGCACACTCTTCCATGTTGGCATGTTTGGTTCTGAAAGGTTATTTGTGCTTCTCAGTCTTTTCTTTATTTTTGTTTGAAACTGAAAAACGTTTATTCGATGAATCAATAAAACACACTGAACAGTAGCGGCTGACTTTATATAGAAAATCTGTCAGCAGGAAAAATCCATTTTTACAAATCGGCAGGCTCCGTGTGTAGTAAAAATGGCTGCCGGACTTGAATTTTAGTTTTCTTTTCTGGTTGATCTACTTGAGCTGTGGGCTATTGGAGCGCAATTAAGAAGAGGCCGAGTCAAGTGCCAGACATGAATTTGAATTTTAAATGGGAATACTGTGTAAATAGCATCTGTTTATCTCCTTCCCCTTTTTCCACTTGAATATATTGTGCACTTCTGCCAAAATCTGTGAGGATTTAGTTGAACACATTGATTACTCACAAACTGCTCCTTCACATGTGACCTATTCCCCTTTCATTTTCCCGCTGTACCATTTCTCTCGACATTCATCGCTCCTCCTCTCCCTCCTCCGCTGCTAGGCGACCCTCCGGTAGGTTTCCGGGACGTGTTGCTGCGTGACGGCCCTGAGGGATTCGCCAAGGCTGTCCGTGCCCACCGAGGCCTGTTGCTAATGGATACCACCTTCAGGGATGCCCACCAGTCGCTCCTGGCGACCAGGGTTCGCACCCACGACCTGAAGAAGATCTCGCCGTTTGTCAGCCATAACTTCAACAACCTGTACAGCCTGGAGAACTGGGGAGGTGAGCGTCTCAATGTGTGGGAGCTTTTCGTCATTGTGAAATCGTTCCACAACTAATCACACACTATGCATATGGAGCACTATGCATATTTACATGAAATAGGTGCTGTTTGGAAGAACTAGGCTAAACGATCCAATCTTTAGGTTAAGCTAACGGTCTCCTTGATCCAGCTTCATTTGTTAGTGTAGAAACGGGAGAGTTGTAAAAGACGTGTATATATGCAAGAAACTGCAGCAGCACCTCTACTCGGCCATTTAAGACAGGCCTGAATATCCCTTTTATCGTGGTTATCTTTTTAATTAAACACTCTGTATGTGCTCCCACATTTGAATGTGTTTTAACGGCGATTGGCCACACTCCTGCTGTAGATCTGTTTTTCATGATAGTGATTGTACCTCTTTGTTTTTCTTATTTGGGAAATGAAAACGTGCAACTGAAAGCATATCTCTTCTCTTCTCCCACAAGTCAGTCTTCAGTGAGTTCCCTCAATAGAAAATCAATGTTCTTTTTACCTGCTCTTGAATGAAAAGAGACTATTATTCGTTATTGGACCTTCTTGAGGCGTGAAGAGTCCAATAGCGCACCGTCCCTTGTTACTTTTCAATAACTTTGAAATTGTCCAGAGAACAATAACACAGTCCTCATGTTGGAAAAGTCGAGACCAATTATCACTTCTTGATAATGGTCTATGTGAAGTGCAATGGTTATGAACTGAAAGAGTAGACTCAGTTTTCCTGTTTGACCACTCCGTATTGTACTCAGTGAACCTCTTGAGGTTTAAAACATTTTAACGCTCAATTATACAAAACTACTCTGAGCGATTGGGCCCATTTTACAAGGCGTTCTCTCAGTACATCACAAGAACAAACGCAAGAACTGAACAACAAAAGCCTGTAAAGTAAAAGTGTTTGTTTCAAGGACTGCGCTCATTGTTAAATGGTTAAGCAAAGTGAGAAAAACTGTCCAGTGAAACCTTTTCAGTGCACTAAACCATTAAATCCTTCCTGCTAGTTGATCATGGTGCACAAATTAAGCTAAAACACCATTCCATTGCAATAGGAGTGCACTTTGAGGACACACCACATCAAATGACTGCCTACATGTTTGTACAGATTAAAAGGTTATTGCAAAAGCAAAAACCAAGGAGGTATTTGGACAGAAGATGCTTAAACGCTTCCCGGACGGCCGTGTCTCAGTATGTTCTGATGTTATTACGAGACTGACCAGAGAAAGATGATACCAGTTTAGCTTAGCCGTGTTTGAGTACTCGCATTAAAAGTACATCTTTGACTCGGGCCTGTGAAAACCTCTCAGTGAACTCGCTTGCTCACTCTGGGATGCTGTTAAAAAGGTCTCATTACACTGAGACCGTTCTGAAAGGTGAAAGGGCTGCCATTAAGGGAAATGCTTCCCTTATCTTATATAGACCACCACTCTCCTACAGCGTCTCACTGGGTCTATACACAGTCCAAAAGGATGATTAAGCCCTTGAAATGATAGTGATCCAGCTCCGTCAGACATGTCTGTGTTTTTCTAATGAAAGGGCCCAAACTGAGCTTTCGCTCGAGGATTTCATCTGTGCAAAACAGGGGAAAGAAAATCTTTCCTAAACCAAGCCTCAGCTACTGTCCCAAGTAACAGTTGGTCAAATCCAAACAAACTATAGCTGGTCTTCTATTATTCATTATGATACAACAAACATTTCACTATGATGTCATCACTCACCTCAACTGACTGTCCTATGAAACACATGATCCTCCTAAGCTGAGCTGACAATGTGACAAACTCTCTTCAGTGGGGGGGGAGTGAACCCTGTGGTGCGAGCTGGTCCATGAATCAAATCGAACAGTTATGATAAAACCAGCAAAAAAGGTGAATACATCTTCCTCTGTGTCTCCAGTCTAAACGCTCTCATAAAGCGGTGGGAGTCGAGTTTTGAAAGCTCTTGAAGTTAAAACACTGTTCAGTCTTCACAAAAATATTTTTTTTTTAGAGCAAGTTGAATATGCACCTGTCTCATTTATAGAACAACAGCCATATGAAGTCAGACGTTTAAACTCATCCCTACATTCTGTAATTGGCTGATGTTATGAGCCGAGGGGATTCTCTCCCATTAAACAAAAGTTGCAAGGGGGGAATGAGTGAATCAACGAAGATAAATTTAATACGCTCATGGATCCTCTTCACATGTCAGTAGTTCCCGCATGATAAAATTTTGATTAAGAGAGCATAGAATAATTTAAACAATGGGAGGTAGAATAACTTCTTAAGATAGATATCACCCCCCCGAATCCCTGCTGCCACCTATCAGGATAACAATGTGCCTCCTGGGAACGTTAATATCATGTTAATACGAACATTTAGATAACAGAGCATGCTTTTGCCTGCAAGCCTTCAACACACAGTTCAGCTCAGTTGGTTGTTGTTGTTTTTCTTATGAACAAACGTAATCCGTATTAATTGATTAACTTTCTGACTCTCCTATTTACCCCATTTTCTTTTAGAAGTGTGGAGCTGACACAACGTGAGGTGTCATTCTGTTTTGATTCGGTTCCTGCAGAGCAGTTTTCACAGGATGAGTAGTATTCCCCTGAGGAGGGTACTCCACCAGCTAAATGGCCTTTTTGACAATGTTGTAATATTTTACAATATGTCATGTGTGATCTCGGACAGTTGGCTTCCCCTCCCGCCGTTTAACGTCCTCCTTTCACTCGACTTTGGTGCCCAAAGTGCCCAGACTCACTAGTTGGTGGCCGCGCTCTCGCCTGATTGATTTGGGTGGTGGCAATAACTGCCGGGCCTCTCTTGATAGCGAGTCCCTAAACATTACACTTGTATTACAGAGTGACCAGAGATGGAGAATATTACACCCCGAGATGGCCATATGAGTTTGGAACACATCACACAAATGAATCCCATTTTATGATCAAGTCTCTCCCTTTATAGTGTTCCTGCATCATGGAAGATACAGTAAGATGAGTTGGGTCACGTAATGTATTTATGTAGTTCTTAACATTCACTCCTACATCATGCTCCGCAAATGTATCTGATGGTAGGGCAGCAGATTGGTAATCACATGTTGGTTGGTGCCCTGCTGTTATAATCAGTGTTTAAAGGAACGCTTTGCATGATTTAAGGAATATGAGCTGGTTCACAGACACACAAACGGGTGAAGCCTGACCGGCATACGCAGGGATAGCAAATCAACCAATCCAGAGCGATTAACTGGAATCGCAGACATAAAAATTGATCCGACAAGATGGACTGCCTGATGCATCAGGGCCATACCTGCACACTTAAGCAAAAATGCTGAAAACTGGTGTGTGTGCACGCAAGCCAAAGATTTAGATGATGGATAATAAGCATTTTTATTTATCATGGCCATTCCTGTTTTGGAATGGCCATTTAGAACTTTTATGTTTTAAAATAAGTGGTGAGTATAAGGACATTTTTTAATTTTTATTATTATTGAGTTCCTTCTCACCTACAGAAGATGTTAAAGGACTCCCACAGCACTTTGTCCAGGGGAGGTCCCAAAATAATTCATCTTAAGTTCCGTTCTTCAGACATTCTTTAAACATTACTAAAGGAGCTGAATATATTGCGTTTGTGGGTAACAGCCTTGTTTCCATCTTGCTCCTTGTTTATTTCCTCTCCTCTTCGTGACAGATTATATGCTGCCTTTTTGACCGGTGCTCGTGCCTACTGTAATAATAATAATATTCATTCCTGTTATCAAATGATTAGAGTAAATTCTGCTGTCCCTGATTAATTCCCTGTTCAGCATCACCTTTTGATTCACCATGTGCTGCAGTACATTTATAGTAACATGTTTTACATCAGACAGAATTGCTTTGAGTCATTTTTGCTCCAAATCAGGGGTTTAGGAGATGCTGACAGTGGCTAAAATCTAAATTGATTAAGGGGAGGGCTTCCAGACCATAGCATTCCTCTTGCTCTATGAGGAGGGAACAAGCCATTGTGCTTAGTATTCTCTGTCTGTGCACAGAAAATTATATATGACCGTGTTGGATCAGCAGAAAATCACTGGAGGCTTCCATATTTCTGGCTGATATGATAAGCGGGTATGAGATCCGCTAATCTACTCCCCCAAGACGGGGACATGAGAGATTGCCATCTTTTTTTTTTTGCCTCTCCCACTGAAATACTTTTCAGATTTTTTAGGGACTTTGGAATGAAATGTTGAAAGTGCTTGAATGAACGATGAATGTCCGAGTCATCAGACAATTTATCTGAGCATTCCATCAGCATGCATTAAATGTGTGTGTGCGTCTGTGTGTGCGGGTTCGTGGGTTAAAGCAAGTTTGAAATACTTGTTTCAGAGTCAACAAATTAGGAAGACGGATGAAAGTTCGGATGGCCGCTAAAAATGACCCGCGCGCTCGTCTTGTGTGCGTCTGTGTAGGTGCCACCTTCGATGTGGCCATGCGCTTCCTGTCGGAGTGTCCATGGAAGAGACTGCAGGAGCTGAGAGCTCTGGTCCCAAACGTCCCTTTCCAGATGCTGCTGCGAGGGGCCAACGCTGTGGGCTACACCAACTACCCCGACAATGCCGTCTTTAAGTGAGTCACTCGCGTTTCACCTTCACCTTTGTTTATCTCTTATTCAGGCAGGAAACGATTAACAGGCCGAACACCAATAGTCTTGTCATAAACATGTACACGTTCCTTGGTTTTTCCTTTCAGTGAATGGTGTGTGTAAATGTATTGAAATGAATGGACTTTGACTGTACTAACTAGGATATTTACCATTGAAATTCCAAACGCCTTTTCCAAAGACACAACAACACAGTAATAAACTTAAAACCGTTTGTTCTTTTCCAATTCAACATTTTCACCTTTTTAAACTGTTATAATTATTAAAGTCAATTTGAATAAAAAGTTCTTGAAACCAGCTTCTGCAACTGTCGTCTGACAGACATTTGTGGACTTGCTGTTTTGGGATTTGGCCAAATGCATTTAATTAAAAAGCAGTATATGTCCACTGTTATTGTGCGCATGATTTAAAATAGCGGTTGTTGTTGCCTAGCAATGTAAGCCTATATGTGGTGTAGGATCCTCGAATCCATTGGTTCTGATATTCACTGGTGGAAGTGAATCACTTCTTCTTTCCCTTTCAGTCCACCTATGCTGGATCGTTTCCTCAAATCAAATGTCTTTAGGGCCATAAATACTCCTGTGCGAACACGCATGCATGCAAACACGTTTCCAAAAGGTTTCACAAGTCACCGCGAGGATGTGGATGACTCATGTATACCTAAAGGACACACAAACCCATGCACGTGTAATTCCCCTCCCTTCAAATAAACTAGTAGTGGCTTTATGACTAATGCTGCTGTCCTCCTCTCCCTCCTTCCCCTTGAATCACACCAATGCACACAGACCCCTCCGACCCTCCCGATTTGGTTGCTCCCCCCTCTCCTATCACATAGTCATTATTTATCCCCACTTTTATAACTCCCTTTTCACGCCTCCATTCATCTCGCCGCATTACACATTGACCCCCCCCCCCCCTTTTTTTCCCCTTTACCTCTGTCTAACCCGACGTCCCCCCCCCCCCCTCCTCCCTCTCCCGGTTCCCATCTCTCGGTGTCCCGTAGGGGGAGCGCCATTGAAAATGTGCACGTGATTGTGATTAATGGCTTTGATCTGCTGGCCCGGCCCGCTCCCCTTCCTCCCTTTCTTCTGTCCACACTCTCTCCCTCGACGTTTGTAGCCGCCCCCTGTCGGGCGGCCCGAGCGTCTTCGTTAATCAAATCAAAGTGTAATTTTGTTTATTTTTAAACAACATGCTGTAGGTTCACAGTGCAGTCTGCTCTGCGACAAGGAGGATGTGCCATTTATGTCTGACCTGTCTACAGTGCTAACTATATATTCCTTTCACCTAATTCGACAAAGACATCTTTCTGACTGATGTTTCAAATATTGATTATATCAGCGCTGAGTCCGATATGTAGGACATCGGATTTGGTGCCAAACAGCTTCCACTAGAGACCACTTGCATTCTTGTACTGAATAAATACCGGACAGGCAGACGTTGGACTGGTAATCCTCCCGTGGCACAACATTAAGAGTGTCTGTTTATTTGCCAAAACAAAAGCTCTGCGTGGGTAAATGTTGTATTCATAGCTACAGTAAGCGCTCACCCCAGTCATGAAAAGGTGATAAAGATACCGAGGCCAAAGCAGTAATAGGAGGGATTTACCAGTAGCAGCTTGGATAATGAGGCGGGTATACATTTCTCTCCAGTCATTGAAGGCTGTGTTAACTCACTTTTCATGGAAATAGCGAGGATGTTGTATTAACGCAGGTACATTGACGTTCATGGGTAGCAACTGAGAGATGGATATAAGCAGCTTATCCCAACCGTGGATATGCGCTATTATCTGGGGTGCACTGTGCATGAACACAAACTCGTGTTTGTGAGGAGAGATTTGTGAGCATCTAGCCGTGAACAGTGAGCATCAGCAGTCACACTAACCTATTCTATTTCTGACTGATTCGATTGGGGATTTTATACACACGACTGCATAGTCTTCTGGCTGACATCATTCTCTGCCTCCTCCAGGTTCTGCGAGGTGGCCAAAGAGAACGGCATGGACATCTTCCGCGTGTTTGACTCCCTGAACTACCTGCCTAACATGCTGCTGGGGATGGAGGCCGCCGGGGCAGCAGGTGGCGTAGTGGAGGCCGCCATATCCTACACAGGCGACGTCTCTGACCCGATGAGGCAGAAGTACTCTCTGGACTACTACATGAACCTTGCGGACCAGCTTGTGAAGGCCGGAACCCACATCCTCTGCATCAAGGTTAGGGAGTGGAGATGGCAGCTCGGGATTTCAGTGTGTGTTAATGTTGTTTACTGCTACCAGTTTGCCATTAAGCCATTTTTTTTTACCCTTCTCTGTGATTATCCAAAGAGTCTGGCACTTATTGTTTGCTTCTGAAATCCCTGCCCATCTGCCACCAGAATAACGTAGAACCATCTGGAAGCGATCTCTGCAAGTGTTTTTCTCGCTCTAGATTGCATACGTAGTCTTCTACACATGTATGTCATCATAATCGGGGCCTGCACTAACATACTTAAAATTAATTTATTTCCAATCAGTTTTACTTATAAAGCACAGTTTAAATGAACACAAAAGTTCCCACAGTGCTGTACAATAAAATAAACACAATAAAACATAATGAATAAATAAATTGACTGTCCTCCCCAGATGAAATATCTGTGCACATAAAAACAACCTACATAGTGTTAAAAGCCAAAGAAAAAAGGTTTTAAGAGTTTTAAAATTAGACAGTGAGGATGCTTGTCTAATGTGCAGCGGCAGTTCGTTAGTTTCGGAGCTGCAACAGAAAATGCTCCACCCGGACCTTTTCATTATCACTTTTCGTGCTTTTATCACTGAAATGCCAGAATGTTAGAATGTTCTATTCTGTTCTGTTCTGGTCCCCCCCAGGTCGAGCGCCTCTAACCTGTTTTCCTTTAGGCTATTCACGGAGCACAGAGCAGAGGTAAAACCAAAACCAGTACCTGACGGGATGAACTGATAAACTCCTGCTCCACTGTTGTGTGAACCAACACACACACACACACCGCAGTGGCAATCTCATAAAACGCTTGCACAGCTAATAAGGTTAACATTTAAAAGAGGAAATGAGCCTGAATTACAACTTCATGGAGTGCAATGATCACCGGAGGGAGCGCAACTAAACATCTAAGTTTGCGCCGTGAATTTCTGTTAATATCACTTAAGCTTTACTTTTGTAATCATCCCCACACATGTCCATTTAAAGCCTCCATGTTGTTCCAATATAGATTTATTTTTAGAAACATTTTCTGTAGGACTGGTTCTACGGATTTTCAGAAAGAACATTTAAGTCACTTCAGGACTTAACCATGTTTTTCTGAACGTGTTCCTTTCTGCTTTATATATTTTTTGGGGGCTGTTTTTACTGCTCAGTGTTCACGAAATGACTCAGGCTCGTGCCTTGTGCCCTCTTTCACTCAGACTAAGACAGGTGGTTGAAATCAACCACCATACCTCCATATCCAAAATTTAGCTTTGCTACAGAAAGCCACTTAAAACCGGATTAAGGCATCTGGCTATGGGCCTACTCCTGGATTAAGTTGTACCCTGTTGAATGTGTTTTAGAAACGGTAAAAATACTTAGTAATACTTAATTGTGTCATATTTTGGGATACAAAACTAAATAGCAACCACGGCGTGTATGCGTGTAGCAAATCGTGTCCAATCCGTTTACCCGTCAGCGTCTGATGTCTCACCCTCAGTCCCTCTGTGTTGCCAGGATATGGCCGGCCTGCTGAAGCCGCAGGCCAGCAAGCTTCTGATCGGCTCTCTGAGGGACCGCTTCCCAGATGTACCCATCCACGTGCACACACACGACACCGCTGGGGCCGGCGTGGCCGCCATGCTGGCCTGTGCCGAGGCGGGAGCGGACGTGGTGGACGTGGCGGTGAGTACTCGCGCTGTTTGTTCTGCGGATGCCTCTCGATACTACCAGACGAGGTTGCTTTGATATCTTGGGAAAGATCTTTCTATATCTTGAGATATCACGACAACTTAAGCTCACGTGTTTTACCACGTACTGCAGTTTGTATTGTGAAGTGTCAGAAACAATTGTCATTCCTGCGCTGACTGACGCATGCAGTGCCATTAAAACGATTGGCTGATATTTCCAGTTTTGGGCTTTTCTGCTCTGAATAACTTTGTAAAAACAGCAGCTTGTACCGTGTGGATCAGACACAAAAAAACCTTATTGGTGTATATTTTTATACTTTCTCAAGTAATGAAACATTTATGCTTAGATACAAAATTGCCAGTCAGGGAAGCATCAACATTTTTTGGAGGTAAAAATTGTTTTCTTTTTAATGGGAAATTGAAGGTTTATTCTTTCTATGAATCATCACCAACCATTAATCCACTCGTACAACAATCAAGGCTCTTGGTCAAATAGTGTTCTTATTGAATCAACCTCTTCAGGTGGACTCTATGGCCGGGATGACGTCCCAACCCAGCATGGGAGCCATGGTGGCCTGCACCAAGGGGACCGAGCTTGACACAGGTAAGCAACAGGTTCTCCAAACCGCCTGCTTCAACAATCAGTGTAAATAGTTATTTTTTTAATGTATTTAAGTATCACAAGGCCCCATTGGGGTAAGGATTTGTCTTAGAAATGCGTTTGGTAGTTAAGGGGCAAAGGAACGTTCTAAATTGTTATTTCATTAGTCTCATCAGTTTAATTTATTAAAAGCAATTGGAAAGAGCCGATTGGACAGACTTGTTGGAATAAACACCTTCATATATCCTCTGTGAAGGCTAAGTAAGAATCAATATGTACGTTTTTCAATTCGCAGAGCACCACTCGGGACTTTTATTGCAGTGTAACGGTTAATGAGACCGAACATCTTGGATCACAATATTTCTTTTAGTTTTTTTAAAAAATCCCACTTTGCATCAGTGGGTAATAAATTAACAAATCAATAAATGACAAAGTGCATCACTAATTATGGCTCTCAATCAGAAAGCCCTGCATTTTCCGCTCAGTAATAATACTCGCAGCCAATCATGGTCAAGATGGAAGCTGAAGGGAAACTTGTTTCTCACTCTCACCCGTGTAAAATCATCAAAAATGTTTGCAAACAGGAGACAGTTTACACACACAAGTCACGTGTCGAAGCTACTCAAAGGTCGTCATATACTTGAGATATGGTATCATAAAACAGAGTTTCTGCGCACGTACAAAGATCTGATCGTACAGGACCGTCACGTTGTTACAGCTGAACATCATGAGGCACTGAGTGGCCTTCTGGACGCCGGACACACACATTTCATTTATCTCTGGTCGTCATGTTATGAGTTGACAGCTGACACGTCATACACAGATGATACACACAGTCTTGTCTTGTTTTTATCTAAACCCCCCTTCTGATCCTGACTTTTACAGTTTCTCCAGCAGACGAACCAACTAAAAAAAAAAGTCTGATGTGGTTAAAAAAAAAGCTGATGCTTTGTTTGACTGAACATTCTTTAAATGTTAAATGAATATTTCAGAAATCCAAGTGAGATGTAGAATTAATGTTCTGCTTAAAAACCCATACAAATATTGGTTGTAGCCATGATTAATGTGTTCTTATATTCATCGTAGCGTGCTTAAACACATTTTGACTAATGAGCAGTTCTTCCGGGAGCATTTAGGGGCTTTTTCCCAAGGCATCCTAGACATGGTTGTTGGTTATTGAATCGCTTCCCCGGCCCACACTGTGCCAGCTTCCATCTGATCTTTTTGTTCCCTCTCTGGACTTCCACAGCTTCTTTTCTATTTTCTTAAGAGGTTGACAGATTAGTGGACTATGGATTCATCATGTGTATATCCCCCTTTGGGTTTGTTGTTTGTTGTCATTTTCACAACCTGACCCCCCCACCTGAGGAAGCCTCCTCTACCTCCCACAGCAGTGGATGCAAACTATCTCAAAGCAGTGTGATGAAAGGCTGCTGTTAGAAATTAAAAGAACATAAAACGAGCTGAAGGAATTAAAACCGATGTGATGTTTGCTGCTTAGTTATGTAGAGTAATGCTTTTGGGAAACCGACTCCGCTCTACTAACTACATCTGATAGCTCATTTCCATTCATCAGGAATAGCAAGCTACTAATTCTGTGGACGCTATATTCAAACTACGCAACTAATGCACAGCTTATAAAACAAAGTGTCCTGCACTACAGCGGTAGGCTGCCTGATACCATCTAAATGCAGATTTTTTTGTAGCGTCCTCCCTGTCTTCCTATCTGAGGACATACAGACAGACGGTTTCCAGCCTCTGGGCTTCGGAGACATTATTTTCCATCAGCTCAGTTTTTGATTATCATGTGGTCTTTGGAGAAAAGCCTAACTAATGCCTATTAATGATTGGTTGTGTCCCATGGTAAAATGATTAACACTGATGCTAATGTGCTGTGGCACAGAAAGATACGTCTGCAGGGAAACTCGTGCCCACTTTCTCCTTACACCCGCTGCATGTTTATTCATGCATTTTCATAGAAACCACATCACACAGTCTCGAGTGGTTGCTGCAGGTCCTGTCATATTGGGGAAATTGGTGTCTCCATTGTCGAAGCCCTTTGAAATGGAACACGCTTGTGTTGTGCAGTGTCAGCAAGCTCACGTGTACTGCTGTTTTAACAGTACATGCATGTACTGTAAGATTGTTAGCTCAGCTCTGAGGAAAATTCCACCTTGGATATTTTACATTTTGACAGTTTTAACAGTTTGAATATAAACTCGACACAAGGCTGATGTGATGAAATGAGGGGAGAAGCTTCTCCCCTTTTGCACCGCCTGTAACCACACCCAACAGTGCTGCACAAAAACCAGATTATCAGCTGGGGTTTCTCTTTAAAAAAAAAAAAAGAAAAAGAAAAGGAAAATGCTTTTTGAATTTCTGGGTCAGTTTATTTGCAAGCAACTAATACACAAGGATGAGTGGGCCAGTAAGACAACAGAATTTCACATTCCTATTTGCAGCGCCGCTTCAGCGGTGTTGGAAAAGCAAAGGATGGCGGTAAACATCAGTGTTGATGGTGTCTCAGTGCGTCCTTCAAAGTGAATTGGTTTCTTTTCCAGGCTAAATACTGCTGCAGAAACAATCACACTGGGAGGGGGGTGTCAATCGTTAACACAGGATTATTACAAGAAAGCCCAAGAGGCATATTGTGGTTTGAGTGTGACGGGTGACTTGTGTTTTAAGAGGAAAACGACTGCTGCTGTTACGTTGACACATTTAACCCACAGGGGAACAGCAGGTTCGAGTCTACCCTCTCCACCTGGCAAATGTGTGTTCTTCTGGGCCGTGTATTAAAAAAACTAGAAAGCATCAAAGTATTAGAGGGAGAGGAACTCTCCCATCATTTAAACACTGTCCGCGTCAGTGACAGAATATGAATTTGTGAGCGTACTGTTCCCAGGGAACAAAGAGAAAGACAAGGTCATTGCTGAAGAGCAAGAGGTTCTTTAAAGTCTGTCAGTTTATTCATGGAATTTCAATTGACCTCAGTTTGGGATGCAGGGGGTCGCTCAAACATACACATACAGGTGTGCATACTCCTAGTGTGTCCGGATGTGACCTTGTTACATGTATTATGCATACACATGCAGAACAATTCCGGCTCACTTACAAATTCCTTACCACCAGTAACTTTGTATTCTTTACCTCTCTTTTTCTAACCACCACCCGCCTTTTTTTCCATCTCCATCTGCACTACTTTTGCAATCAAGCAGGGCACTTAGATACGTCCATACCTTCCTTAGTCTGACCTTAGCCCGTTTACTGCTTTCCCCCACTCCCTCCCGTATCTGTTACAAAGCAGTAATCAGGGCTCTGCCTTTTCCTATCACCCCTGGTTCCCTCAGTTTCTCTGCATACTCCCCCCTCTTCGCTTACATCTCACGGGTTGCCAAAGCAATTAACGGCACTCTGCATGCTTATTTCACTCCCTCAAACTCCCTCACTCTTTGCTCTTCCTGTCCATTCAATCGGTTTCTCCCCCCGAAGAAACAGGGCCTCTTCCTAAGTCATTCGGCTGTCATTATATTTATCGAGTCAGACACCATGTGCAAGCACACACTTGTATAAAAAAACATGCATATGCTGTTGAATGATGAGACATATTTAATTGGTCCTTGAGGTTATTTGAGATTTAATTTACTGTCTCATTCATGGATTAAATTTATCTGCAGCTGGTTTTCAGTAAGGTGCGGAAGGCTGTGCACATCACACAAAGCATAGATATTACTATTTGTAGCCGCCAAGTAGTGACCCCAGACGGCAGGCCGGCTTACTACTGGTCAGTGTACTGAATGCATGTTCGAGTTTATGAACAAAGCTATGTGTGCGTCTGTTAATGTTCTGCAACAGTTAGTTTTTGCTGCTAATGACTTGTATTTTGGCGGCATTTTGTCACTGCCAAGCAGCCATCTAGATGACATATGTGTCTGCAAGAGCTTGTGCACCATTGTCTGTCGCATATGCACACGTGGTATAGTTGTGTAGTGATTGATGTTTTTGGCAGCGTAACCATAAGTCCAGAAAAAAACAATGCTGTATTTACCTCTGGTGTGATTTACTGCATGTCAGAATCCCCAGCCCTTGTAGCTGTTCTTAATACTTGTACATGGTGAAATAAACATTTTAATCCCTGAAGACAAGTAGGACCGTCACAATGACAGAAAGGATGAAGATAAAACACAACGTTGTTGTGCTGGCTTAATCATGTCGAACTGGGTTGTTTAAGAAAGATGCTCACGCCATCCATCCTCGCCAAAGCACTTCCCTGATAATCGAAGTTGGCTGTCAAACCGAACTCTCTAAATAAATTTTCCAGCAGGATCTGAAATAAAGTTTTTTTTAATCTAAATAGATTCTGTAAAGTACAGCGGCATGCACTGAAAATAAAGGTACGCGTACTGCAGAGATTGATATGCGACACTAGTTTAATATAATTAAAGTTGTTTTTATCTGAAACCGTTTCATTACACACATAGTTATCAATGCTCTGCGCTGTGGGGCAATGCATCACAGAGATATGTGGTGGTGAAATGCCGCTTTGATGAAACTGCTAATAACTTGCAGATCTCTGAACTAGACGTTGCCGGTTTTGTGAAAGGTCAAAAGCTTAAAGGGTTGTGAACCACTGGTGTAATCTTTAGCAATATATTGTATTACATTTGTTAATGTTTTTGTTACGTAAAATCTTGTTTTCTTGTTCACTATCAATCCCAATGTGTTCTATGTCATGTTACATTGAGACATTTCCAGCAAACTCTCCATAGAGTTCATTCGGTCTTACTGTTGAAAATGACAGTATGTGTTGTTTTAAAGAGTCTTAATGTTACCACAAAAGGATCCCACAACCGCTTTTGATTTGCTTAGTTATACTTGTTGTCAGATGAGACTGCTGCGACTTCATAGTCGACAGAAGCTTGCAGATATTTGTTGTGTCCACTAACTACAAAGCCATCTGTAAAGGAAGGAGTGCGAGGCGTTCGCCTGGTACTGGAAGGAGGTGAAACTTCATCAGAGCTCGTTTGGAATCCGCAGTGGATGCTATCGCATGTTGAACGTGACGTCTCTTCCATTTGTATATCATTTCCGCAATTGGCACATTAATGGAAGCTGCAAAATTGGTCCTCAAACAGAAGTAAATGGACACAATTACCGCGTGGCTCGTCCGTACTGCAGAGTTTGAGGAGCAACAAGCATGCACATTAGTTTCACATTAATATCGCAGAGGCTCCATTTCCACGCCAAGAACACAGTGGAGTGTGCACTTTCTTTGAATCACAGAAATTGAAGCTTGCCAGGTTGTTGTTGTGGATGTAAAGAGCTAAGTTCGTCTCATCAACATGGCTGAGCGCACTCAGCCAAAAGCTCAGTTCTGTCATGGCATTAAAAACAGATTTTTTTCTTTCAAGGTAATGCGCTTTAGCACACCTTAATTGGCAGTAGCCGAATGTCATGAATTTGAGCAAAATATATTTTGATGTTGTTTTTCTCTAGGATCACAAAATATCTCAGGGATTATTAACAACAAGTGCCAAAGGCATGTTGTAAATGTGTTCTTACAGGCTAATAAGCGCGCTTTACGCTTTTTCAGTTTAGGCTTTTTCCAAGTTTTCCGGCCTGTGACCCATTTTAATTCCCACATTTGTTCTGCAACTTTTCATTGCACATCACATCAATTCCCTCCTTTCAACAGAAGCGTTTCACATTATCAGAGAATAACAGACTTTGGCCAGCTGGTTCGGCAATGAGTCATTTCTATCCACACATTAAATGGTGGCCAATACAGCGTATAAATAAATTCCCATGCTTTACATTTATATTCTGAAAACCAAGATGTCACCAAAATACATTTGCGTTAGTGGTTTTCCCTTGTCAAATTGTTGTCTTAGGACAAATAAAGGCCACTAAATCCGCCTGGCGTCCGTTGATTTGATGCTGCTCTGCTCTGCTTCAGGCATTGTCCTGGAGAAGGTATTCGACTACAGTGAATACTGGGAAGTAGCCCGAGGCCTGTACGCTCCGTTCGACTGCACGGCCACCATGAAATCCGGCAACGCTGATGTCTATGAGAACGAGATACCCGGAGGACAGTACACCAACCTTCACTTCCAGGTACAGTGACCGATTACTGATGGGTTTGGGTGAGACAAAAAAAAACATTTCCCAAAGCTCCTTGCCACATGTTAGAAACAGATTAGCTCAGTGCAACATTACATGTGTAGGGACATGTTGCGTAATACTTCTATACAGCTGTGTGTATTTAAAACATTTCATTTGTGAACTGTTGAAATGTGGTACAGTCTTGTATTTAAAAAATAAGTTTTATTCTGGAGAAGAATACGTACTTCCCCTTGCTCCTGACAAGATGGTCTTTTTCACATTTTATTGTGTTCAAAGACACTGCAAATGCAAATAATGTGACTGATAAGTGCAGTCATCAAAGGAACTGTTTCACAAACTCCCTAGAAATGTTACTCGAACAACTTATTTGTGTTTTTGTGAGCGCTGTGTGGTACAAACACAGTCTACAGAGTCTGCTAGTGTCGGTGACTTTTCATGTGACTGAACTCACAGGGCCGCTTGCCCGCTGGCAGAAAAGTGAGTGATTATCCGGCCATAATTATAGTTTTAAATCACAGGTCGACACTCAATGACTCAACATGCCGGGACTTTCTCCTTAACTGCAGTAATACAGATATTATTATTTTCTCATTTATGCTTTCGTTTCTTTCACGGTGACTCATTGCAGGCTCACAGCATGGGACTTGGGAACAAGTTCAAGGAGGTGAAGAAGGCCTACGTGGAAGCCAACAAACTGCTAGGGGACCTCATTAAGGTGAGACATAAAGATCAAGCGCACCCACGTCTGCGGATTAGCCGCTTGCAGAAGATGTCGTCGGCCCGTTTATCTTCAGGGCCGTTGGATCCCACCCGCTGTGGTACCGCGATGAATCCGGCACGTATGTGACATCGTTATTAATCTCTAACAGTGAACGTTTCTGCCAAGCTGGCCCTCTTTCTGAGTCGCGCAGATTAAGGTTTGCTACGTCCACCACGCGGTCTTTTTGACCTTTGTGGGGAATTTTTGGTCTCTGCCCATCGTTCCATCCTTTCTTTAGACATTTTTACGGTAAAGTGGAAAATTCTACATATTTTGAAGTTGATTTTTGCTTTGTTTTATTCACCACTGATACTGAGCTGGATGTTAAATAAGAGTAGAAACTCCAGTGGACGCGTTCTGGGTTGATTTCCTAACGGGCACTTTCATCCGAGGGGAGCTCGATTGCCAATTTTGTAGTCAACAGTTCCATTCTCAGCCCAAATTCTCCTTCATCCCACCTCTTTGTTTTTCATTATCTTTCATGAAGTCCCAGTTTTTTCCGCCTCATTATTTACCACCACAGCGTAGTAATAGATTCATCCCTCTCTTAACGTGTTCACACTCACTCTGTAATTATTTGTTTATCTAGTTTGCGTTCTTTCTTTATCAAGCCGCGCCGCTGCTTCACCTTTCTCATTCCATTGCTGCTTTGCACACATCGGTTCTTATTGTGTTCTCTCTGGATTGAATTGTCTATTACTCTACCTCTTCCTCCTCTCTATTTAAAATTCTTCCTGTGTCTCATACTCCATTTTCTTTCTGTGGTCCCCTCTACCTTTCTTTGCCCCTTCTCAGTTTTTCCCATCAATTTCTGTCCACAAACTATGAATTCAATTAACACACTCAGTGGGCTCTGCTGCACAAGCCAATGTGCAATGTCCTGCTAGGCTCTCCGTTGTATCCTTTTAGCTTGACAACGGCCGTGTCTCTCACACAGTTGGCTCATCGATAAGAGAGCGTGTGCGTGCGTGCGTGCGCGAGTGCGCACGTGTGTGTGTGTGTGTGTGCTTGTCAGGAAGAAATAGAGTACACACACCACTCACTGTGCAGGCGCCAAGCAGAGCAGCCAGGCTATATACATTCACCATGCGCTCCCACACATTCACGCATCCACAGTTCAGCAAGGGCTGCACCTTTGAAGCTCAGAGCTGTAGGTGAAGGGCGTTACATTACCCCACCATCTGCCAGAATCCACGGTTCAGCTAAATGAAGAGTAGAAAACGATCTTGAGTTTCCTTCAGCATTGCTGCTTATTTGGCAGATTTGTAGAGCTGCTCACTGGATGAGTGGAATGCAAAATCCAAAAAATAAATATTGGAGAGTCTGACTTACAAAACAACTGATGTACAGCGGAGTGGTGAGCGTCAGACCCATCGGCTGTCATCACCTGTACGTCCTTCTTTCCCTGCACCGTCCTCCTGGTGACGTAGTGGTGCTCTCGCAGAGACCACGTCAATGTAATCTGACTAGTATGACATAAAATCTGCTAAACTCTTCAAGATGATAATTGTAGTAATTCACTTTTTCTTTTGCTTGGGGGCTTATTTGCTAGGACAACATACCATTTGTTTTAATGCAATGGATCTCTTCAAAGCTCAGTCATGTGACCTATACGTGTTTTGGTTTGTTATATACAGGGTATGCATCATATATATATTTATCTGTGCTGCTGTGTTTTTTCAGTTTCATTTTCAAGTATTCTAGAGATCCTTTTCATCGTCGCCCTTAGGTTCACAAAAAGTCAGCATTAGTGAAAATCCATCACAAGCCCATGATGATATCTTTAAAGGAATAATTTGATGTGTGCTTATTTGAGACCATGCTGTGAGTAAGATGAGAAGATTGATACCACTCTTATGTAGCTGATTGTAGCCCTGGAATTCCATGCAATTCTTTATTTGAACCTTTTTTTACAAGTGTGTGTGTGTGTGTGTGTGTGTGTGTGTGTGTGTGTGTGTGTGTTATATAACGTGTAAATTATATAGTTGTGTAAGTCAGTGCACCATGGTGAACAATTTTTTGTTAAATATCTTGTTCTTGATCTTAGCAGCAGGTGAAAATCCAAAGATGTTCAGTCTGCCTTCAATGAACACAAGTTCATTCTTTACTAATGAACTAATTTGATCCATCTCTACGTACTTGGACTGGTCTAATGTAGATTAGTTATAGAAAAGACTGAAACCGCAACGCATATAAATTGACGTGCATGGAGCTGCGACTGAAGTTCATCCGACTCTCCGATGCCTCTTCCTCTGCATTTATCTCATGCTCCCTTTTCCTGTTATTCCTCCTCTTTTTTTCCCTCTTGCCCAGTTACATTCTTGTAATACATAAGTAATTATATAAGTAGGACAAGTTGTATTTGTGTGCATACTTTGTCTTTCTCCATTACTTAACACGATCTCTTGTTTTCTCTTGTCTTTTCTTTTGCAATTAGACACATTCTCTCACCCACACGGTCCAAAGGCACACTCACTCAGTGTCTCTTACTTGGAGGTGGAGCACCTCCTTCTTTTCCCTGGGGGGCTGCAGATGTCCACTCCTCTTGTCTACTCCTCTGTTCATCTGTCCATTGCTTTCTTCCTCATTCTCTCTTACTCATCCCGTCTTTCTCTTAATCACTGTGTGCGTTACCTCTCCATTTTCATCTCCTCCTCCACTGCTACCTTCCTCCCCACCACCCTTCCATCTCCCATTTCGATTAGACTTCCTTCATGTAACCCTAATCTCCTCTCGCTTCTCCTCCCCCTCTCTGAGCCTCTTGTTATTGCTCTTTAGTCCTGTCTCCTCCTCTCCTGACAGGCACCATTCTTCACTCGGCTCCTGGCATTATATCGTGTGTTCTTGTGTGTGTTTATTGTATTTGCCGTGGCGATGCGCACACACGCTTTTTTGGATGACGTAATCCTTCGCCCCTTTGGGGAGTTTAGGTTTGGATAGGGTTGCATTTCAAAACAAATTTAAAGCAAAGTACAGACATGTCGCACACAGGCATACAAGCACACACAGAAACACTGGCATGTTTTCTCACACACACACACACACACATTCCACTGCAGCATATTTCTGTTGCCAGGAGTTTGAAGTCATGCTAGCCCTCTCTGCTAAAGCTGCACATTAGTAAAAGTGAGAAGGCCGGAAGAGCAAAAAGCGGAATGGTGCGAGAGAGCAGAGTAACACGAGGGCAGTATGGATGCAAAGAGCCGGGGAAAGAGGGAATGCACAAGGTGGCGGATGGGTTTGAGTGGCGGTGAGAGACGCGGTAGAACCAGAGTGCTCCTGCATGCTGAAAGGAACCAGCAACATCCCTGACTATAAAACCGTTTTAGATGCTTCTCTCCCCTATTGAATCATGTAGTATGTCATATCAGATCAGGCTGAGTTGAAATGAGAAAAGTTGATGATTTAATCTTAGTAATCTTCAAAGTTTGTTTCAGAAACGGATAATGACACTGGGGAGTTTAATCTTATTATTTAAAAGTAGCTTGGGATTTTCTAGAAGACTGAAAAATGTCTGTCCAGTAAACATGAGAGGAATTTGGACTGTATCTTTACAGAAGTGGTTGGAATGAAAAACTAGCCGAAAGATATGTCCAAATGATGTCAGTGCAGACTAAAATATTTCCAAAAACATTGAATTGATTTATTGCCATGACTATTGGTTTAGATATGACAGGTCCTTCAATATATATATATAACTAGTTTAATATTGTGATTATTGTATTTCGTGCATCTCATTTTTCACATCGTAGCTCATCCTACACTACATATGTAGTCTTACCAGTTTTAATTAACTTTTCTGGCACATTAATTACACAATTAAGGCTTTTCGGGTGTAATTTCACGGCACGTTGTTGTGAAAATAATGTGGTAAAACTACATTCTGGAATGGCTGCTGTATCAAAATCACTAAAGGAAAATCTTTACGATCAGTCTTTTAGTGAGTACGTCAACAGAGTAACAATACATACGGTAACCTACCTCTTACATAATCGGCCTCAGAATCAGTTTCACCTCGACGTGTTAATAATATAATCACTGCCAACTCTCCGTTGCCTACAAATGACAGATAAAAGGCAAGAATGGCGTTCTTACTACGTTAAAAATGAGTAACATAAGTCAGAAGAATATAGGACGCCATTTACCTTTTTATTCTGACACCAACCTCGAGCCAATTATTTCTCTTCACTGTGGCTGCTTAACATCAGATGGATTTTTTTTGTGTTTGCTGCACCATCATTTACAAGCATTGCTATTGTAAAGGAAAGAAACACCAAAGCGCAGTTCCGTGGTTACGAGTGTGTTCCGTGTCTACAAGACAGAGGTGTAGCTTCTGACATAAGGACGCAGTCAGTCTGAGACGGATCAGCAGAGGAGAGTCTGAGCTGAGCTACAAACAAGAACAATCGGATTTTCTAACCCTGCACGACCGGGATGTGATTTACCTCCTTCCTCGTCTGGAAGTATAGAAAAGCTCACTCGTCATCGAGAGCTCGCACATTGTGGTAAACGAGATTTCCCGTTCTTGTGTGTGTGCGAGCCACCCAGAGAAAGTCTGCAGTGGGGCATTCATCAACCGAGATGAGAGGAAATACTCTAGACGATGCCGTGGATCAAGGAAGAAATAAATATTTGGCAGAGGGACGGACAATAAGAGAGATGGCCACAGGATGGAGGTGAATCATGAGGACTCAGCATCACGGTGGTTAGTATGAAGACAGAAGATAGTGGTTTGGGAAGTTACAATAGGACGGAGTAAGAAAGATGGTTCACGGAGGCGGAAGAGAAAGGGAAGAGTAACAATCTAACTTTGCAGCACAAGAATAAACAAAACTAAAAACTGTTCTCTGGAGACAGAAAAGTGGAGAATGGGAGAGGGGCGAAAGGTAGAAAAGGGAATTCACGGTCACGCAGCTTTCTTTAAGATAGATTTGGAGTAACTCGGCAGTAAGCTTTTGTTCCACCTCTATACCGAGTTAATGGCCTCTCCAGGGACTCAAACAGCCCATTCAAATCCCCTAAGCTTTCCTGTAAACAGTCATTCTGCTAAAGCAATGGATCGTTATCGCCTCCTTCCACAAACCCAATCAAACTGAGCTTTAGGTGTTATGGCAGGGACATGCGGAAGGGAAATGTACACTTGTTTAGATCAGCAGGAAGCATATCTTCCCAGAATCCTGCTGGGAGAGGCCTCATTTGCCTGCGAGGCTCCCTTTGAAATATTGGTGGTGGTGGACTTTAACACTTTGCCTGCTTTAATGGTTAAGTTATAAGCGCAAATATCAGAGAAATTGAAAGGCACTGTCGTGAACCTAGATGTCAACTACCACTTCATGAGGGATTCTAGCCAGACAAATTCAAACTGAAAATGTATTTTTTTTTGGCCGGTGAAATCTAACGTTTCTGACATTTTGCAGCTTAAAGAAATTCAGTTGTTCCTTCTGGTTTGATCGTGTGAATGCAGTAATTTGCAATCGCTCTGATTCACTGGCAGAGCGAATCAGACTGGCCCTTCCTCCCCACGACGCTGAGGTTCACAGGCGGCTTGAGGTGGGGCGAGGGGGGGATGCGTGTGCCTGTCACCCGTCACCCCTCTAGTAAGGAGAATAGCCAGAATACATCCTGCCTATAAACCCGCCGTCCCCTGCTCACATAAACGAAAGGGCTTTGCACGGAGGTTGAGGCCTAGAACTACGCCGCGTTTCAATAAATCTGTGGTGCTCTCCGTGGTGCTGAAGTAGTAGATGGATTTGTAATTGCCGCTTCTGGGACCATTTCCCTCAATTTATCTTCGATCTGTAATATTCTGTAAACTATAGAGCTGGGTCCCCGCTGTAAAAATGAACAAGATGCCTATTGCCCACAAAATTATTTCTTTAATGTTTATAATGCCAATTTAAGAATGATTATAAAATATGCTGACTTTAAGGAGCAAAATGTTGAGGTCAGCAACAGAGGCGCCCAAGAGCTCGGGGTGACCCCCCTGAAATCTCTGCATCAAAACACAAGAGTATTCGGAACCTGTGGCCACTGTCTTTCAAAGTATGGACACAACTACACTCTGATATCTATGTCACATACTGAAATCATTCTCCTCCATTAGGGAATCTCTATTCATCAACACTGAGATTTGATCACATTTTGTTTTAGAACGTGGTTTGCATGGATCAGTAGAACTGTGCGCCAGCGCTTCGAGTGGTTTGTTCTCTTGCATTACTTGACCTCCCTCTCTCTTTAACCACTTCAGATCCACAGATTTTTGATCTGAATACCAAGTTGAGTATAACAGGAAGGCTTAAATCTGTGTGTCCCTTCATTATGATAGAATATGTGAGTAATGTGTGCGAGTTATTTGCATCAGCGTCCCATTCGCAGTCAAAAAAGGCACCACTTGTCACCATTATGCTAATAGGGATTGCTATTACCATAATGATATTCCATTATCAAGAATGAGGACACGTGACTTGAAAACATTTTTGTTTACTTCTCCCTCTAAAGAGGATGTACGGATGTAAACATCTATTAATTTCTCATTCTGCTGTTTTTTTTCTTCCTTTGGGTCACTCTGCACTTAATCTTCATAGATAACGTGATGCCCTTTAAACACTTTTGTCTGTTGGTGAGATCTTTGTGGCTTTATGTTGCTACCTGCACCCTGCCGACAGGAAACTCCCTCTGCCGGACTTTACAGAGGAATCGTGGAAATGGTAGCAAACTGAGAGATTACTCACAAACTTGTCTCTCTTTCTCTCTCAGGTGACTCCGTCCTCAAAGATTGTGGGTGACTTGGCTCAGTTCATGGTTCAGAACAACCTGACCAGGGCAGAAGTAGAGGAGAGGGCCGATGAGCTGTCCTTCCCCCTGTCTGTAGTTGAGTTCCTGCAGGGATACATCGGGATCCCCCACGGAGGATTCCCAGAGCCATTCAGATCCAAGGTACAGTAGTTTGTCCTCTATCCACTCAGGCGCACTATTATTTTCCTCCTCTAGTTTATGAGCTCACGTGGATTTCGGATGTTTTCCAATCGGACTTCTATGAGCATCAGTTTGAAATTCAAGGGTAGTTCCGGCCCCCTAGAATTTAGCATCTACCAGAGGTAAATATGACCTAAAAAATTAATGTAAGAAGCAACTTTATCACAGAGACTATTTGTCAATTTCAAGAAAAATAGCCAAAGCTACAACTTCAAAGCCATAGCTCTAAACCTGATGTACTAGAATGCATGTTGCAATGAGATCAAAGGGTGTTTTTTAAATCAAAAAGTAAAAAAATGTCCCTGCAGGGGCAAAAGATGTAAAGCACATGTGTAATCAAGTGAGTGCACACCCACACTCAGGTTCTGTCACATGCAATAAAGGAACATTTTTCACATTCTCTCAAAAACCTGCTGAAATATTGGCATACAATCAAAAGTTGTTAAAGAAGGAAACAAGACAACTACAAGACATTTTTCCCCTGACTGCTCGTGCCAACATTATGAAATATTCACTGTGAGATCCCGTTTGCACTTTTCGAATTATCTCCCCATGTGAGGCTAAGAATGTGCCCTTTGTATCTGTGCACTCATGCATCTACGGAGCATTTTAACATGTTTGCATGGCTTGAAATCTAATTAACGGATTAATCAGATACAATTAGATATTCATTCCCCCATATTATATTGGCCAACTAATTAAATTTAGCAAATGGCCAATGTCTCCTGCCTTGTCAGCTTCATCTTTATACTTATGTCTTTTCATTGTGTAGGTGTCTGAACATGTCCTCTCCAGTTACTATTTCTTCTTCGTCATCACATCGTTTCTCATCTTTGTTTACCTTTCTGTGAGGTTAGCTAATAAACCTCATCAGGTTGTCCTTTCTCTCGCCGGTTTACAGTCAGAAGATTATGGGATCAAATATTTGTCATTTAGCTTCAATTGAAAAACAAATGTGAAGAATGCAACAATGTATTCAAAACAAAAAATAGTAGACAAAGTATTTTTGGGTTGAATATAGTTTTGGCCCTTCTCTATATAAATTTAATTTTTTTTCAATACATTGTTGTATTTTTCGATGTTCATAGTTTCCCAGGCAGTCCCATCCATGCCAATCAAAGTTAGTTTTCATTATAAAATAATATCCGACCGCTGTGATCGCTGCCTCTATTAGTTTTCTGATCTGTGTTTTTTTTTTTTTTTTTCAAACTGTCATCCCTATTAAACAAATGGGAAAAGCAACTTCAAAGAACTGAAGACTTTATGCATTCAGAGGCGTGTTTCTTTTGTAATCCATCCACTGATACTTGATGCACAAACACTAGGAGGCTTTTTTCACACATTTAATCTCTTCATCATTCTAATTCAGTTAAATTCGGAGCTCAGCTTTAGTCCAAATTAATTTTTACTTTTCTTCCACAATGTTTTTATGCCTGCTTATTGTGTGCCCCGTGTTTACATGCATGCTGTAAGCTTTATATCACCCACTGAATATCTCAGTACATTAAGAGTATAAATCAAAGTAATTGGTTTTAAGCTCATGTGAGTTAGATGAAGGAAATGCAGCTTAAAGAGAAGGAAACAAGACATTGCTCTATTTATGGAATTATTTTCCGGAAACAGAGCTGTGCTTCTTTGAGTGGTGTGCCCTGTGTCAGGCATTGCGCATCATTTGCTGTGACTTCACTGACTCCATCTTAGTCATGGTGGATTGTTTGTGTCTCTATGTGGCTGTAATTGCACGTTCCTGAGTAATTAGCTTATTAGTGAGCTGCTGTGAATGTTCTTGCAAGCATACATATACTCCATTTCAGTGCTGCATCCAAGAACAATGTAGCTGAAGCTTATTTTTCTTTGATGGAGCTTTAGGTGTCATTAATTAATTAGAATGCATCATATCATATGCTGGCATATGCATTCATTGCAGGCCCATGCTGTCTTAAATGCACATTTGTATGCATGGCCAAGTGCCAATTGAGGCGTGTTCTGGTCTTGGTCCTCTCACACTCAATTCAATTGCGGTGTGGTGTGACAATTGTCACAACAGAGGAAAAGAGGAAGGCAAAGGACGGAGACAGTGGCAGCTTAAACGGAGTGTTAGGGCTCGGGGAGAGAATAAGGAGGAGGACACACAAAGTGAATTCACAAAATAAGATTTGTCAAAGAATCCAGCACATTCCTCAGTGGTAGCGCACTCAGAAAGAAGAGAGGGGAAAAAAACAAGAGTGTGGGAGTGGTTTTAAGAGAAATGTGGAACGAGAGCAAATAACCTTGAAGGAAGCGTTTGTCTTTCCTTTTTTTGAATGTACACACACACTCGCACACACTCTCACTTTGTCTGTGACTCACACTGAAACAAACAACTAGTTTAAGGGTAAAGCATCCTCAGAGGATGCAATGTTAATAAGCGGAGACTCAAATGAGCCTGCCATCTTTGAAGTGTCTCTCCCTCTCTCACACACACACACACACACACACACACACACACGTGAGTCAGCTATCTTTGAACTGTTAGCTCTGTGACTAATAGCATTGCACTGGGCCCTTTGTCTGGAGATTCCTGCAGGGCACGCACACACATACTCACAAATGTGCCGAGATGCTGCTCTGACACAAAGACTAGAACACGGCAGTACACACACATGTTTGCAAACACAACACCACGGACAGTATATGTGTACAGACAGAGGACATATGCACACAGCGCTGAGTGAAAACCCACATGCGCACTGCCAATGCAGCATGTTAGCTTAGTGGATGAATATTTTGATCTGAATTGAGCAGAAATAAATGAAGGTGTGCGCACACACACTGAAAGGTAGGTAGCACAATCCTCTTTGCTTGGGCTCATTGTGTGGATGGAGGCTGTAGTGCTCTATGGAAAGAGGAAATGACAACAGAACTGCAGCCCTTTGGTGAAGTGCCCGTCTTGACTCCACCGTGGCCCTCAGATCAATTGATGCCTCTACAAGTCGTGTCAGATACCAGCGACTGCGTGGACAGACAAAATATCATATAATTGGTGCTGTCGCATCCTCCACTTTCCACACGCATCCCCTTTTCTCTCAGTCCGTCCTCGTCTTCCTCCTCCACTGTTTCCAAGAGGAAAACTGGGGCGATGTGTCACATACGCAGCGAGACAGCGGTCATCTGAGACGAGGCCTAAATGGAGAGGGAGAAAAAAGTAGACGTCACTGCAGATCCTAATACAAGAGCGGTGTCTGATATTCTCTGCAATTCAATTGTTTCTCCTCCTTTCTCGTAACGCTCACAACAGCACCCATGTATTTTGGGAAACATTCATAACGGCCGTATGATCCGTTTCTGTTTCTGTCCCTCTACCTTTTGATCTTTCCTTCTCGTGTTTGCTCTCCTCCAACTTGCTCACTTCTTTTCTTTCTCAACCCTCCACCCCAGGTCCTGAAGTCCCTCACTCGCATCGAGGGTCGTCCCGGCGCCTCCCTGCCCCCCATGGACTTCAAAGCCCTGGAGGAGGGTCTCCGGTCTGCACACGGTGACGAAATCACCCCTGAGGACGTGATGTCCGCCGCCATGTACCCGAAGGTGTTCCAGGAGTTTAGGGAGTTTACTGGTGAGTGGGCGGACTTCACGATGGGCCTCTGTATTCAGATCAACAAACAACTTATTAGACTTTTTTTGGTTGTTGGATCAGATCAGAGTTCTGTCTCGTCCTCCTCACACTCTCACACACACACACACGTTCTCATGTGTATTATCATTCGGGCTTGAAATTAGCAGCCGATCTTGACTAAGGAAAATTCAAGTTCAAACATCAGTTAGAAACGTTTTGAGTTGCTGTATTTGTAAGTTCAGGGGGCAACACACTTACCTGTCTCACGAATTTACATAACCCATTTATGCTGGAGGGAGAAATCAGCATAAGCAGTAAAAGCTTTTTGCAGCAGCAGCAGCAGGCTGTGATGTTGGAATAATTCAAGGGGAGTCGCAATGTAAAACGCTGTTTACATGAGCCACCGTAACATTTAGCTGCCTGGAGTTACAGCAGCTTGAATGCTGCTTTGAGGAGTGAGGGGATGTTTGCCTTAAACTGGTGGGGCCTTTTCATTAGGATCTTTAGTTGTGTAAAGCAATTCCCTCATTACCTCAGCTTACCTACTCATCCGATCTTATTTCTGATAATAAATATTGTTCTAAAACTATCCCCCGTCTAAAGTAGTAGTTGTGTTTGCATGCACTTTCATAATCATGAAGTAATGTTTGCTGATATTAAGGCCGTCTCTTCCACCAGCTAACTTCGGTCCAGTGGACTGTCTCAGCACCCGGCTCTTCCTAGATGGACCCAAGATCGCAGAGGAGTTTGAGGTACACGTCTTAAGATCATTGGACCCGAATATGTAATAATATATCAGACAGGAAGGATCACTTAAAGCTGTTGCATTATGGGGAAAGTGCTCTTTTGGTAATCAACGTTTTGCATATTGTGGAGTCCTGAAGTCAGGAAAGAAAAAATGAACTATAAGAATACTTAGAACAACGGAGGATCTGAAAAGTCAAGGTCACTAGTGTGATGACACGTGTTCATCACTAATACTAATGATACTCATTCCATTAATAAAGTATTAAGTAATCCATCTAGCTACAAGCGAAATTAGAAGGAAATAGGTGGAATCAATCACTGCAGTGTGTTGGGAAGGACAGTGATATTAACACTGTATCAAGGGAACAAAAAGCTACATTTCTAATCCCTCTAGCCATCATATTGACCTTCCCGACACAGAAACAACAGATTAATTGAGACGCATGATGTTTGCGAGTGGGCCCGTGAAGGCTCGGAGCGCACAAATACGTCCCCTACGCTTTTCAAAAGCTTGTACCTGTAGTTTATCTTCCAACTTAAGTGAACAATCAGCCCAATGAGGAAAGGAGACAAACGAGGTGAATAGCTTTGCGTGCAGTCAGATGAGCGAGCCCCGTGGATGTCACACTCTGTCGGGGAGAGCGTGTGATCACCGGCTGCCACTTGTTGCTGCAAAGCCACAGAAAGTGAAATGTCCCCGGGGATTATTGACATCTGAGCAGCAAACCGGTCGGCAGGTTCTGATCACAAAGTACAGACGCACAACATTTCAGGACACTGACAGCTGCCACTGTGATGAACAAAGCCCTTAAGTATTCCCTCAAGCGCAGTTTGAGATTGTTGGAACTACCGACGATCCCCCTTTTGCGACGGATGTCACAATCCGACGTCGAATGAAAACCTTTTTTGAACATGCTGCTGAAGGAGATGTTGAAGTTTGTCACTAGATGTAATCGGCTCAAAACATGTTAAGGATTTAAATTCTTTAAGTAGTTTTTCAAAAGACTATTGTGTTGCATAGTGTTATTTTTAGTGGAAACGAGCAGAATGTGAGTTAATGTTAATAGTGTTGACATTCTATACTGTAACCTTGTTGTTAGGATAAAATGGAGTTTGCTAAAAGCAAAATCATGCCCACTTTGCACCGTCTCTGCTGTAAAGATCTGGGAAATTCCCAAATTAATTTAAACCCCTTGACTTAATAAATGTTCCGGGTAGAGCGCTAACTAAGCCACGTCTATGCTAGTGCCCGCCCACAGTAACTACTACAATAGCTGTGTTACTCGAAGCATTGAAAACAAAAAGGGGGGGTACTGTAACGGAAGTAACTGGTCCATTGAAAACAGGACAGGAGCCTTTTGTCAGATGGAAATGATTTCAGAAGTGTCCGAGACCACAGCAGTGTTTTTAGCCTCAACCTTTTTAAAGCTCTGGTTATAAGTGGACAAGCGCAGCATCAGAAAGACAGTGAGACACCGAAAAATTGTTTGAAAAACTTTCCGTTAAATGTAGAAATAAACTCTTCCATTTTAATATTATAATCCAAGTGAACTCTGCTTTTCCTGCTACATTTCTCTCCTTCTGATCCTTTCTCTCCATTCCCTCATTTTGAGTAGCACACATATTTAAATAACATTGGATCAGAGCAGCCGAAGGCCGCTGATTATTGCTTAATTTCGCTGCAGCCAAATGTTTCTAGGCTGTTGTTAATTGTTTTTTGAATTATTAAGGACATGCGAAGCACTCCTCCTCTACTGCTGTATTAATAGCTAAAATCAGGAGCTGCATCCATTGTGCTGATCTAGTTTTAAACCCAAGACGGTCAGACCGCCCACGTTAATCTCCCAGTGTGTGCGCCATCTGATGCACCTGCAGTCATATTCGAACAAATCCTATTTTATAGTATGCGGTTTGTTTTTGTAAGAACCCAGCGTATGTTCTGTGCTCTTTTGTCATTTCCTACACTACAACATAATTAATTGTCTTGAAAGAAATCTGGATTTTTAGCAATCAAACGCCCGACAGTGTCCATCTTCCAACATGGTGGTTGTATCTTTCCTTGCAGTGTAATACATTTTCTAACAGTCACTTATTTAAAATGAGTAATCTCTCATTTTTTAGATTCCTGTATTCTCGTCAGTCAAGCGTTTCCCAGATGCAGAGCTGTTGTTTGGTTTCCCCCCTTCACGTTTTACCTTTCCTTGCTGCAGGTGCTTATCTAATCTAGACTCCTTCAGGACTGTTATTTTTAGAGCTTTCAGACCGATTTCTGCCTCACATCATTCATCCCCACAGAATCAGGCTCCTCACTGTTGTCATGACGATCGGTACTCCCACCAGATCAGTTCCGATTAGCGGGACCAAGCCAGCGATGCAGTGAAGACGCGTCAAAAAAATGACCTGTCACAAGCAGTTTGAGGTTTCTTGTCCTTTTACTTTGACTTAGAATAATTCCTCCAGGGCAAAAAGAACGAGCCCTTGAAAAGACTGCAATCAGTAAAATAAAATTAGAAAATCCGATAAAGCCCACCTAAATACTATAACAGTAGTTGTTCCAGCACTACCACAAAGCCCTTTTGTCTTTTTCAAAGAGGGGATAGATGCTCGGGCTCCTTTGGGAGCAGCCAGCAGAGCCCTTCTTGGGGACCCGAGGCGGTGCAGCAATGCAGCTATACGACTCGATAAGATAAGCCACAAAGTGCTTTAAGGGTGATCAGTAATGTCTGGAAATCCATTGTGAGACTTGTGTGGCTAAAAGAGGGCTGATATCTTATCTTTAAGTATTTGTTAAAAGCTGAGCAGCTGCATTTTTTTGGTTTAACCCTGTACATAACGAATGATACGATATCAAAGCACGCATGACCTTCAAATCAGATTGAGAGAGAAAAGACTGATTGTCAAGATGCTTAAAATAGGAGTGAAAAAAGGGTTTTCAAATGAAGGTTGAATATTGCGTTCTGTTTTTGGGCTGAACGTTTGTACAAGTTTTTAATTTTTTTGTGAGGTTTTGATGGACCGTGGGAGTCCAAACATATTTGTTTTAATGTAGTTGGAGGACATCTACCCCTTATTTTCTGACAGATACAAACACTGACTGCCTCCTTCATTGTCGTTTTATTAAGATTTGTGCTCCATAACAAGAGTAATAATAGTCCTGAATTTTGTGCTAATGTATCGCGCGTCTCAGTGGTACATGTAAGCACAGAGGAACAGGATGGAGGAACTCTTTATTTTGCTGGCATTTCTGTTCCAATTGATTTTTCAAGTTGATGAAACTAGGCAGATTCTTTTATTTCCCTGTAGGTTGGGTAATTCAAGAGAATCGCATGTTTGATTTAGTATTTCTTTCTAATCTAAAAAGCAGTTTATATTACTGTTGAGGTAATTGCTTCTTTTGTATCAATAGATAGATGATCCAAAGAACATATGCGATCACTTCCACACTTAATCACAGCATGAAAAAGTCAATACTTGCGGGTATAAACATTAAGAAATGTTGCTATCTTGAAACTAATAAAGTTTCTGCACACAATAAGAAGAACCCCACTAGGTGTGTGTTGTCGTCCATTCTCACATTTTCTTTTTCATTTGATATCTGGGTTATTAAAACAGACATCACTGGGGGAATTTAAGTTGCCTCGACCGGTTGGCGCAATGAGGGGTTTGCATGTGATGCCCACGCTGGCTTTATTAAACGTGCAAGAGGCAGGTTGAGCATGTGAGGCCAGGTGAGTGACAGCTGCTGCAACTTTTTCAGTTATGAATTAAAGGGGAAACTGCTGTTGTCCGATGCTCGGAGAGTAAGTGTGGGCGTTGAGAGTGTCGGCCTGTCTCAGGACAATCACTCATGGTAATTACTAGCTGCTCATAAGAAGCCTATTTATTTTTGTGCTGACAGATTTTCTTTCTTGCATTATAGTCTAGATGTGCCCAGAGGTACGAATCTTGGTTTGTGAGTTTTAATCTCGGGGTGAGTGTAGTGGACTCTGTACTGCATACGCCACCCATGATCTTTTTGAGCGCTGATGTTGTGGGAAGCAGATATAAAGTTTCAGTGATCATTTGGTATGTTTAAGCACTTCTTATCAAGCCTGTGGAAAGTTCAGTTGGAGTGCCTTATCAGCCTAGAGGATTTCTCTTTGTACACTGAAGGGGGCGGGATGACACACTTAGCTTTTCCCACACTTATTTCTTATTTATGGTAATTTCTTAATGCTCTGTAAATATTTTTGGTCCTATAGTATTAATTTTGAAGTGCAAATACACAAGAATACACGGGTAACGCCTCGTTCTAGAAAATTTATACTTTGACCGATCTGGCATGTGCTGATGACTGTATTAATTATGTTTGATGGAAATAAACACAAAGTTGCAGGGACACTGAGCCAGCGCTAATGTGCACAGCACATGGAGCTGTGTTCGCCGCAGTAAAGTTATTACTCGTCATATGTGAGACAGTTGTTCCAGTGTATTAGATAGATAGCAGCTCCATACCAGTACCTCAGGGTGCTCTTTGAATGAATGTGAGGACACATCACTGAGGAATCAGGAATCAGGAAACATTTATTAGCCAAAATATGTCAAACATACAAGGAATTTGTCTTGGCGGTTAGTGCGCGACAGTAGACAGACAAGACAACAGTGCACAAGTAATAAAATAAAGTGGAATGAAATGCTAATGCAATGGTTTAGTAGAATAAGGCTATGGGTTAGTATAAAACAAGGGAATAAAGTTAAAAAAATGTGTTAAAAAGAAAGCATAAAGTGCACTAACGAACAAGTAACAGACAAGAGACAAAGTGACAAATTGCCATGTGCAATTCATATAGAACACACATAAGGTGCAAGGTAATGGGAAACAAAGAGAGGCAGCCCCGCTGGTTAGTCGGGTTCGAAAGGATTTTATTGACTTTGAAACCATATGTAGACGGCACAAATTCATGTTGAAACATATGTATTCTTTCTGTAGTCTGTACACCGGATGGCTCTTGGATGGATGTGTAGCAGTTGGTGCTTTGGCATAAGTGCATCGTGGATTGTGGCTGGATATGTTACCTGCAATTGGATTAAGGGGGAAAGTCGATAATAGAAGCCAGCTGCAGGGATGGAGGTCAGGGTGAGGCAGGTAGGAATAAGCAGTGAGTGAGTTTTTGAGCTTGTGATTAATCTTTGAACGTCTTAATGGGTCTCTGGTGTTTTTGATATCAAGCCCAGTGCACTGAAGTGTAACTCTGTAAAACTGGCACAGCGTGAATCCTGTGCAACTCTTCAAAGAGAGGCACACTGTATTTTTCATGGGAACAGTCGCAGTAATGTAGTGTTGAAGCCACACAGTCGCAAGGGGGAAGACAGTGTTTTGTTTTGTGCAAAGTGCTGCCAAGAGCCTGACAAAACAGCACAAGGCAGAGAGAAGTTCAGCCTGAGGGGGGGAGAGAGAGGTGAGGATTCAGTGCTGAGGACAAGCCGAGGCATGCAAAGGGAGAAAGAGAGTGATGGAAACAGATGAAGAGTCAGAGCATCCGCAGAAAGACTGAGGCAGAATGAAATTTAGATCAATACGTACCTGCAGAAGTGCATATTTTTGTCTTCCGACTGACTAAGTCGAGATGCTGATGAGATAGGAAAGGTTGAGAAAAGCCGGTGAACCGACGCAGCAGAGGAAGGACGGAGAGCCACAGGCAAATTAAAGAGCAGCCAAAAGAGGAAGATGAGGGAAATTAACAACAGCATGAGAGGTGGAGCGACGCCCCAGATGTGAAATTGAATGCTGCGACACATGGGAGGACTGACAAAGAGAGACAGATTGAAAGCCCAAACGAGAAAGTCGGACAAATAAAAAAACAAATCAGATGATGGGAAAATGCCATGTAGAGACTCCCATTACGTCGTGACGACACAATGTTCAGTCTCAGTCACTCAAGCATGACGTTTCTCACTTACAAGAACCATAACAAATCGCAGGAGTTGTTTTTTGGGCCGCCAGATACCCAAAAGAAGCACTAAAAAGTGGAATTTTCATGATATATCCCCTTTAAACTAATACTTGAGTTTAGTTTGTTTAAGCTTGTGTAGAAGCCACCTGGTGTTGTTCAGACTTCATGACATCAGAGTGATGGGAATTACATTATATACAGGGTTCATATGACCCTATTCAAGTTGTAATCACAGCTGGGAAACAATGATTTATCACATTTGGAACTTAATAACACAAAAGTGCCTGAAAACGGAATGTGAATGTTGCCCTTTCTGTTTTCAAACCCAAATGAAATGGATATGGTGTTAAATTGTCAGTGCAGTTTATTATCTCCAGCATCAATCTTAAAAGAACGCAGCGGCACAGTCACGTCTTACTCACTTTATTCATTCAACACCAATGCTTTTCCTGCTCTGACATTTAGACAATGTCTGCTGGGGAAAAGGCTTATTGAGAACCTGCCTTCTGATACAATTATATTTGCCAACAAAGTCAAACAAAGCGCTTAACGTTGCTAATTTAATGTACTGCAATTAAGAAGTTGGATATTAGTGCAAAATTAACATTCTTTTTTTTTTAATAAGGCTTAATGAATCTGTCCATATATTTCCGAGCCCCACCATGTTGGGCAGAAATCACAAACAGGAGACGTTGCCTTTTTTTGGCCGCTAATGCATTTTATGCTAGGCAGCAGCATGTGTTATTTTCAATTTTCTGGCGTCATCTTAATATTCCTGTCTCATCCTCCCTCTCCAATTCCCTCTTTCCCCTCCGTCCTCCCTCCGTTTGTCTGATCCCAGGTGGAGCTGGAGAGGGGGAAGACCCTCCACATCAAGGCCCTGGCTCTGGGTGACCTGAACAAGGCCGGCCAGAGAGAGGTCTTCTTTGAGCTGAACGGACAGCTGAGATCTGTGCTGGTTAAAGACACTGTTGCCATGAAGGTACACAGACGTAACTATGATAAATGATGGATGAGATGAGCAGAAGGATAGATGTCTGCAGGTTAACAATGATGGACCAGAACGATATCTCTCTGCCCCCCCCCCACGCAGGAAATGAAGTTCCATCCGAAGGCTCAGAAGTCAATTAAGGGTCAGGTGGGAGCGCCCATGCCTGGAAAAGTCCTAGAGGTCAAAGTGGAAGTGGGAGCCAAGGTCAGTTTAATTCTGTTAACCCTTCTTCTTTTCATCAGGTCTGATTACCGTACATTGCAGATAGCTTTGATTTTATGTGACCTCACTTCTGTCTCTATGTTCCTCTTTTGAATTAAGTTGCCATTTGTATATCTGAAAGGTAATCAGTACTAATACTTAGGAATTGTGTTCATTTGGAAACCTTTCTAAAAAAGGTTTGTGCGCCGGCTATAAAAAAAGAAAAAAGTTTCAGTACTGTTGCTGTCTCTAAAGATTAAGACAAACATGGTATCAGTTACAGGCTGCATGAACCATGTTTGAATGAAATCAAATCACTCAAAGGAAACCTGCAGGAACCACTTTCTCTGCTTTGTGAACAAATTCCGCCCAGTACCACTTGAGGAAAAAGAAAATGTATCATATTTGTTTTCGGCGTTGGAAGCACCTCAAAGTCCATTAAGCGCCGATGCATTGAGGGGGAAGCAGAAATCTAAGAAGAATGTGTCTAACCTGCACAAAGAACTATCTGCACACAGCAGCAATGTTCGTGATCCTCTGGGTGAACACTCACTTTAAAATGAAACTCACAGTAACGGAGTTTTATTAGGTGTGTTAGTGGGTCCGTTTATATCTTAATCTAGTCTTTGACTGCCTGTTGAGTCCTACGCTTGAGTTTTTTCGCTATCCTCTGACTACAGTCCTGGTTTAGCACATTTGACTCCTGTCTCTCTCTCTCTGCGATCACCAAAGGTGGAGAAGGGCCAGCCGCTCTGTGTCCTCTCGGCCATGAAGATGGAGATGGTGGTCAACTCTCCGGTGGCCGGCACTGTTAAGGCAGTTCATGTGACGGCCGACTCCTCCCTGGAGGGAGATGACCTGATACTGGAAATTGAGTAGATTAAGAGGGTGGAGGAGGAGTAGCAGGGAGTTAAATCATCTGATTCTGGAATTAGTGAGATGGAGGAAAAAACAGGAATCCTCTTTGTTACAGACAACTGGCAGCTTCACACAGCTCCACCCACCGGATGGGTGTAAATCATCATGTAATAAAGATCAATATATTCATTTTATGGTAGTTCCTTGTTGAATTAAAATCTCACCTTTCAAGAATCAGTAATTCCCGTAGGTGGGGTGATTTAGGTCTTAAATCTATACATTTCTTAATGTCATGTCGACTTGTGGCAAGTAAGATTTCTTAGAACATTATACATCTGAAATCGTGATACATTCCATTACTTAAATGTGATGCACTACAAAGTAACAATGTGTGACATTAACAGGGTCGTAACATCTACTTGCAATTTAAAAGTCACATTTTCCATTTCTACGCTGTTGAAGTTGTCTAATAGGTGAGACTTTGTAATAATAACTACTAGATGTTTTTGCTATTACTCAGCGAGGGATCAGACATGGGAGAAACATTATTTTTTAGAATGCTTGTAAGACATTATTCACAGCGGAGTGGTAGCAGTTGTTCTTAAATAAACTTGTCACCTTTGGAAAGACAACGAAGCACACAAATCACAATATTTTGTCCAGCCTGTCTTAGAATGTGGCAAAACCTTTCGTAATAAGCAGCAAGAGACGTCTTCCGTTGGATCAGCAAAAGTAGATTAAAATTAAAATGTTTCCCCATGTACACTTGTCTTTAAAATCCCAAAGCCGAAGCCGGCTGGAAACACCCAAACAGGATTAGGGATGTGATTTTTAAGTACCTCCGTTATGGTTCGTAGAAACGTTGCTTTCTTAATCCAAAACCAGCTGCCCACTAAAACTAATTGAGCTCTGTCTGCTGGATTATTTTATGGGTCTAAAGTCAGTCTCATAGTGGCATTTGAGGCCTGGGGATGTAGCAGCTCCACCCGGTCTTTTCTAAACCAAGCGGAGATTAGGCTGCATTGTCTCTTGACTGCATGGGAATTTCAACGCAAGGTGTAAATGGGATTACATGAAGGCACATGGTGTTATTTTCTAAGTCTCTGCTGATTAATTTCTGAATTAATTTGCCGTCAAATGAGGTGAAATTAGCCAGACTAATAAGAGACTCTGGAGACTCCCAGTAGCAGCAACAGTTTTAAGATAATCAATCAGTACCCGTAGCGTTGCTGCCAGAGCTGAAATATTCACACACACGGATGTAAAAATATTCCCATTACCAATCCCAATCCCTGGATAAAAAGAAAGCCAGGTACGCATCTCCATAGTAACACCATCCTCCGCTTTGAACAGCGATGCAGCAACATGTCAGACGGCGGGGCTGAATTTAACTTGGACAATTCAATGTTTACCCAGACATTGAACAGGGTTAAAAAAAGACCACATATCAACCACAGGAGGTAAAGTGTCCCTGAACGCCTGTGCATCGATGATGCCGTAGTTAATTAGAATAGCATCGATTCACCGCGCAGCTTAATCCGTCTGCATTTGAAAGAGTTGATGAAATGGTGAGATTGTATGATTGAGTGTTTGACAAGCTGCTGCACAATAATGTAGGTTTCCTTCCTCTTTACAACCTCTCCTGCTGCCTCATCCATCTAGCCAAGCAGTTTTTATAATGATATTTCCACTCCACGACCTTTTGCTAAACAGGAGAACTGTTCAAAGAATGACGGCAACAACTTTAGCGCAGTGTGTTTTTGTCCAGGCCAGCAGTAATTATAACAATGGCCTCCTGTTAAGTTTATACAATAAAGTAGAAGTAAACATCAGGAACGTGTTTCAGAAAGAATGAAGCATTGACCAATTCTGAAAATAGCGTTTGACATTTCTTTTTACATTCAACTGCTTTCCTGTTTTTCTGAAACCAACTAAACAGTTTATTCAATCTGTGCAGATTCAGAATGTCTCCTCGGAGTTTCTTTCAAACTGTTCACTGGTTTGGAAATTTCCACTTTAATCATTCTCATTTACATGTAAAGTGTGTATGTTGAAGTGCTAGGAAGGACTGAGTTGGAACGCACAAAAAGGAAAACCAACATTGATAATTTTTCTTGTTGTATCTGTACTTACAAATAAAGTCGACTATAGCTTAATCGGCATTGTGTCTATTTGTTCATATTTTACCCAGTAGGTCTGAGATTAAAGTTCACAAAAGGCACATAAATAGTTGTTGAAAAAAGCCTTCCTGTACTACATTTTTAAATCTCACAAACTGCAGCAAATAAAACTTTTCTAGACAAATTACTGTGATTTAAAATGAAACCTCAGAAAAGCACTTCCCTTCATTCTTACACAGTTGGACCTCGTCTTGTCCACCATAAAATGCAACTTGATCAGATAGACACCAGCGCTCAATTCAAGTCTTATTTCCCTGCAACCAAACATCAGTACGTCTCAATAAATCATCGAAGTAATAAAAATGTCATGGTACAGTATTTCAAATAAACAGTTTGGGACTTAAAAAATACAGTCCCAAACAGCACTAGGTACCCCACCTAGCAGTAGCTCATTTTATCACTGTTGAATACATATCTTTAACTGAGGCCTGATGAGATCTTTCACTTTGAAATTACAAACTTATTAAAAAGCCACATTTAAACAAATACAAAACCATACTAGACCTTTTGAAATAATGTGATACAACATGACCATTCTGAGAATAATTTCACTATAGTAGTTTTCAGTTCTGACATATCAAAACAATATATTCCAGTACCTCAACTAAACTTTTATGAACAATTTGTATTTTCTGCTTGAATAATTACTAGTCAAATGAAATATTAAATCAAGCCCCCACGGGGTTCCTGTGGTGTGCAAGAGGAGACTACCGATGATTGGTGTGCAATAAACATCTTAATGAAGCCTCTGGTGGCCTCGTTGTGGTCAATATTTGTGCTGTAGCAACGATCACACGGACGGCCTGTTAATCTACAAAAAATGATTTGTGTCCATGGCAAGATATAAACTGTCATATCGGGAGAAAATACGACAAACTGGCTCAGCCATCTCATACTGCTGCATCGGGTGCTGCTCTGGTTAAAGGCTCCCTGTGTTCATTTTAAATGTCCTTATAGTATTACAGGAAGGTTTTTATTAACCCTTAAAAAGCAACCACTCATTTCCACTATTGAATACATTGCACAATTTCCTACTCCACGAAATGCTTTTTCTCAAACCAGAAGTCCAATAACAATTTTCAATGAAATAATGAATTGACTAATCACTTCCTTTATCCATTTTAAAATGGAGAGTCCGGACAAAAGCAAATAACTTAATGGAGCCGAGTTTAACTCGGGCAACAGAGCTGCTTTCTCAACGTTGCCATAGTTTGCTGGAAGACACTGGCCATGTGACAAGTTGGGAAGCGATCAAATTCTTTAAAATATTGATCATTAATATAATTTGACAAGAATTAACAGATTTGAATCATTTGCAGGGTTCTTGTTAATGGGCTTTCATCCTATCTTACTGGAGGACACTGCAAGTGACCCAATAACCACTTCACATTGCTCGCAGCACGAACGTAGACACCAATTAAAGATGCTGGATCCGAGCGTGGCAGCATTTTCCATGACTTCCTTCCTCCTTCGGCCTTCTCTGGCCACAAACATGTCAAGAACACGCTCCGATTGAGTCCCAACAGAAGCAAACGTGTTCATCTCACCAGGTCCTGAGGTCACAGAACTAATTTCTCATTTGGATCCCAGACTGACGCTGTTTAATAACATCTGCCTCTAATCCACACGAGTGCCAGAGTTCAAATCCCCTTTGTGGCGTTCTCTTTGTCCGCCTTTCCGCTGTCCAAATGAACAGCGAATCCCCTCTGGGGAGGGACGTGAAGGCTCAGTAACCCTGCGTGTCATACAGCTTCTGAAGAAACTGGAATTTCGGTAGAGCCGGCGTTTTCTAACCTGCGACTGCGTGTCTTCGGCGGGCCACAGGGCTCCTCTGCTCTGTTGGGGTGCAACTCCCCCCTCTAATCCCTCTGCTGCTGTTCCCTAATCCCCTCAACGCTTGCTTTGCCGTAATCCTGCCGGAATAAAAAGGGAGAATCAAGGAGGAGGATGGTCTACATAGAATCTGACCCTGAATCAGACAGACGGCCAATTCCCTGATTTCTGGATGCAAACAATGCGATTGAAAATAAAGATTCAATGGATCCTAAATAATGCTGAGCGAATGCAATAGTCAGAGGTTTGAAAAGACTGAAGAAACAAAAATCCCAGTGATACAGCAGCACGCCATCAAACACACATCCTTTCCATGAGAGTGATTTTGAGCACTGGCTCTGCAGGTGTGGTCCACTGCCACCTCCCTCCCTCCCTTCCTTCCTTCACTCTTTGTTCAAAGGCCGCTTGTGGGGACAATTTTCCACCTGTCTGAGAATCAGATACCGGGGCTTCAAGGGCAGTAGGACCCGCCACACACGCCTCCCTGACGGCGCATCCATGTGCCCTTAGATCAAGCTCCTCATTGAGCACCGTTACTAGAACAGCAGCCCATCAGAGAGCCGTTGGGCAGCTTGGTGGTCAGTTAATAATGAACACACCAACCGACCGGACCGATCAATGCTGCGCGTTCGCCGAATCCAATTCACCTCACAAGTCGATCTCGAGCCCTTTTGAAGCTGCAGGTGTGTATGTGTCTCTCACACAGCGACAAAATGTTTATACTGCATGTATGTGACATCTCATTAAGTGTCAGCATACAGACACCTATGCAGTTGTAGCATTTGGTTCCTTTTTTTTTCTCCCACGCACAGAGATCTCTTCACCACTGTGAGCTTAACGCATTTCAGCTGGAATCAAAGCACTGCAGCCAACATGACAGGGAAACTAAAGAGCGCGCGCACACGCACACACAGTGAGGCATGGAGGATTCAATGCGACAGAGGCAAAGCGAACGAGAGGGGAAACACGCATTAAGGAATTATAAAGCAAACAGAGGGAGAGGATCAAAGGAGGAGAGAAAAATAACTCAATTCTCACTCACACACATCGTGCCAATAACAAGATGTGGTTTTCCGCATCTACGTTGGCCACCTTGCTGTCAACATTTTTGCACTGTTACCGTGGCAACCAGGCGTGTTCGGGACAATGAAAAAAGAAAAGTGGTCCAAGCATAATCTACAAAAGTGTGATCTTTTCTCTCGTGCTGGAAACACGTGGAAGCACCCGGGGGCGACCGGCGAAAAGGGTTGAAAGTCACCGATGGAGACGACGTCCGTTCGAACAAGTGATGAACGGCGTTTGCGTCAGCGCGATCGGACCTGAAGAAACAGACTCGACCTCCGCCTATACTGCGCTGGGATCTCAACAGACAGAAGCGGTGCCTCGTGGTAGCCGGCCATGCATGGAGAACCCGTCATGCTGAAGAACATCTGCTTGACAAACCTTGGAGCTCCCTGTGGTTGCACACAAGCCATCTGATGGGTCACACGTCCTCACTATGACCCGTTGAGCCCCCCACGACCTCCCAGCCTCGACCAGCACTGGAACTGGTCATTGTTTGGCTGCGATAGCAATTACCGTGTAGTTCGCCTGTACTTATTGGAGAGCACAAACAGAACTACGATGAGGAATTCTGACTTCAGCTGGGACGATGGGAACGATATAAAAATCTCATTTACGTTGAAATGTTTCACAGCAGCTGTTGGAAGACATGTAAACACCTCCGGAGCAGTTGTTCCAGACCAAGATGCGCACGTTACCGTGGCCCTTGATGTCGGCCTCCTGTCCTCCATCGGCTATTTATTATTCATGATACGTTTTCACTTGACTGTTGCATCAATTTGTGCGCTAAATAAATAAGATGCTAAAATATTCAGTTGTCATCTAAATTCATTCTAGCGAAGAGGTTAGTGCGGATTTACTGATTTCTGGCATTTATGAACTGAATAAGCTCATTCAATGAGCCACAGCAATAAGGCAGAAGCAACGAGGCTTCCCCTCTAGCTTCCCCTCCACCGGGCCACGCACAGGAGGGGCATCACTCAACGTTTTAAAGAAATGATGTCACAACCCAAGAGGAGGTTGAGACGAGAGAAAATAGTAATAAGGACACAAATTACTTTTGGAAATGTGATTTTGTCCAAAGCACTCTTCAAATGTTGTGCATGATGTGTCCACACACACACAAAGTATTTCCCGTTTAAAATAACGGTAAATTATAACACTTCATCACAAAATGACTCACAAAAAAGCCTCATCATGAGCACAGATTATATATTTCACTTCAGTGAAACAAAACATCCCTGATGTAATAGTGGACCTTAATGGTTGGTCATCATTACTGCTATTAAATGCAATTGATTGGCTTCAGCCTCATCGCTCTTTACAAAGAACTGGAGATGAACCATTAGGCAACTCTGACAATGATTGGCCATTAAGATGACATTTACATTTACAATCAATTATCTTGACAGGCAGGCAACACGTTTCCCGTCAAGGAATATTGCACGTGTGCGCCTTTACACAGGTTTCTTTTATGGTATCATTTGGCCATGTTTACAGGCAGCGGGGCACACTGCTCTAATTACCACAGCAGAAGTCTGGCATGAAACGGTGCTGCACACTGTTCCTGTGGTAGATATGTAGAGCGGGCTTGCTTTTGTAGGGCTAGGACGCACTACTGAGACAAACAAATACATTTCCGTAATTGTAGGTGTTCTTTTTTGGCATTTTATACAGCTCTGATAATGGAGAAATGGAGTCTTTCAGGTACAATGACCGGAGTGTATCTCACCAGTTTTCCCCCCAGTGGGGCCACTATTGTCCGCTGTGATTATTCTGAATAACAGTATATTCAGTGTAATTTCATGATTCAGCTAATCAAATATTTCTAGAAGTGCACAATATTGTTGTGGTTTTCCCTTACAGTGGTAGCTCCACTCCGAATAATAATGTGACTAATTGTAGTAAGCAAGGTGATGAATAGTTTCACAAAGAGAGCTCACTTTAAGAAGAACGAGTTGCTGCTAAAACTGGTGAGTCGTATAAGCGCTCTGACTCCCATTAGCAGCACAACATCCGAACACCTACAGAGCAGCAAACGACATGAACACTAACTTCTAACAGCGTGGCAACAGCATGCA